ACACTATATCATAATTTTGACATTAGGACTTTGACTTTGACTTCGACTAAAATAGTGTGTAAAAAGGACTATTGGCGTGTGGAGCCGTCCGATAAGTCCAATCCCCCGTGATGCTTTCCGCGGAGGGAATAATTTATCTTAAAATTGCTATTGGCGTGTGGAGCCGTCCAATAAGCAATACTCCTACTAAGAGTTATCATAGAGCGCCTCTGACCGTAAATTGTAATACTAGGTGTACTGTGGAAGTGCCTAGCTTCAAAAGAATTTACTTTCCTATTTTCAGAATCAAGCGATCCTGAGCACGTCTCGCCTCGCAGTATGGCCGTGTCGCCGCGGAGTTTTGGAGGCGCCGGAAATTAATTAAATTGATTATTGTTATTGATTATTTTTGATTATAAATTTCACTCTCTAAAATCTAATTAGAATTTTTAGACAAGATTGTAATTCATAATACTGTATTAACGTGAAGTTTTAATTTTGGTGAGTTAATTTGATGCAAGTCTTTGTGAGTACTTTCAATGTAAGTTGTTTTTACTATTTTAAATGTTTTGATTGCTTTAGACTATCAGAACTTATTTGTAATATTGTTTAAATAATTAAGGCTTGATTTGGAATTCTTAATATGGTTATTTGTGGTAAATTTAATATTACGAAAATACGTTAGCGCCATCTGCCTCCGTTTTGACGCGCAACTAGACGTTGCCGCCAGAGTGGCGGCAGGTGGGCTTGAAAAACATTATTGAGAGAGAGTCTGTGACGGATTTTGAGCGGGAAAACAAGTGAGTGTTGAACCTTTGTCCAATTTCTCCCCGAATTCCAAATCAAATTAGTGTCTTGCTATTATTTCAATAATTATTGAGTTAAAGTCAATTTGTTAAGAAATAGTGTTGAAAAATAGTTATTTAAATGTTGAGTATTAACTTTCTAAGTTTTTCTAGTTGAAGTAAATGAAATTGTAATAATGTTTGACTGTTGAAAAAGAAAACCTTATGAGTTTCTTGTCTGTTCTTCTCATAATGGTAATTCCTTAGCGAACAGACGTAATTTCACCTACCCCCCAAACATTACTGAAATAACTATTAAAAAACAAGTCAACTCCTTAACTGTTTTATGTTTCATTTAATCGTTATTACCTTCTTAGCTTAAATAAAGACTGTAGAGCCTTGACCTTGATAAAGGTCAACGGTTTTACATTACTTTTTAAATCGAACCCAAATTCTGTTCCGATATATACAATTCGAAGAAAAACATTATGGACTGCCGCCCGCATGGACACTTGCAACCTACACGCAACTCAATACTACACAATTGCGTTGCCTCGCAAGGAAATAATTGTTTAACTCCGGTTTTATTTATTTATTTTATAACTTTTTACACAAATATATGCATCGGCGGACTTAATGCCTAAGGCATTCTCTGCCAGTCGACCGATTGGACGATGCTGAGAAATAATGAGTTAGGTGTGTGTGGACTATTTTGGAATCTGGTGTATACATACCTACAAACATACATATATATATATATATATATATATATACCTACATATACATACACATACAAACATAGTTATACCGTTATCTGTGAGCGGCAAGCATGGCTCTACTACGGTCATATACAAAACATTTTACAACTACCCACAATTTTTATCTATACTAATATTATAAAGCTGAAGAGTTTGTTTGTTTGTTTGTTTGAACGCGCTAATCTCAGGAACTGCTTACTGGTCCGATTTGAAAAATTCTTTCAGTGTTAGATAGCCTATTCATCGAGGAGGGCTATAGGCTATATATCATCACGCTAAGACCAATAGGAGCGGAGCACCAATGAAGAATGTTTCAAAAACGGAGAAAATTTATTAATATTGAGAGACGCAGACGAAGTTGCGCGGGTCAGCTAGTATATAATATTTTGGCAAAAGATACACGACGCAATAAAAAATAATAAAGCTTATTAAAAAAAATACTAATTCAAATATTGCCGCAACTCCAGCGACAATTAGTTAAAAAATTGAACTACTAACTTTAATTTACATAAACCGCGTGAGGGGCCTATGGACCCCCCCTGTCTATGGACATTTGCTATATATATCAAATATGAAAAAGAAGGGAGCGTCGACGCCCAAGTTAAGTGTCGCGTTAAATTGGAGGCGCTACAGTAGTATAAGGACATATTTTTCAAAAATAAAATAAACATTTAAAGAAAAGCATCGTGTAAATTTTTATTGGCTTAAATAATAAATAAACACTGTGTACTAGACTGCTCTAATAGTCAATGAGTTTTACAAACAATAAATAAACGTGTAATAACTTTCAGACCAAAAAAATATATTTTAATCTGCTTTGAGGGGTCCCACGGTGCGAGACAGATCGCTGCAGAGGCCCTCTCTATCTCTCACACTGCATGTGTAATCGTAATTATGATTTACGTGATTACGCATGTGCGGGAATTAAGAAAGGGATAGAGATCCTCTGCGTGCAAAGATCTCTCTCGCACCGTGAGACACGGTGGGGATTCCCTTACGTGCTCTATTCTACGTTCACGCCATTCTGTCGGTTTTAGAATCATTATTTACTGTTTATTTATTTACTATACCAAACCGTCTGGCCAGCGTGGTATAGTAGGCCAAAGCCTCCTTTCTAAGGAGAGGCCTATGTCCAGCATTGGACTATTAAAGGATGGAGCAGTGGATTTACTGTTTATAGCTGAACACTTTTTCAACTTTCCCTTCATAGGCGACGGTTCTCCTTACCTACCTACCCTCCATAGCTTTCCCGCCTTGATTTTGACGTGTTGATGAAAACGTGATACAGATTAAAAATAGAGCACCAAGATTTACTAAAAATATCTTCATGAGCAATTCCATCTTTTCGATATAATATTTCTAAGTTTGTATCCAATAGTCATTTCCGTTCAAAATATGAGAAAACAGTTTATACTTTATTATATTTACGCGTCATTACGTAAGAGTCATTTCACGCGTCATTACAATCGTAGTATTTAGGTTTTCTTTATAACAGTACGAGTATATAGTATAAAAAATCACCCCGCCGTCTCTCGTCTGCCGAAACGTGATAAACTCTTAAAGTACTAAGCGAATTTTCATACGATTTTCACTAATGAATAGAGTGATTCATGAAGAAGGTTTACGTAAATAATTCATTATGTTATTGTAGTCATCTAAAATCATGTAAGTTTTTTGCCGAAGGAAAATCTATTACAATATAGCTTTTTTTGTTTTTTTTTTTTTTCCGTGCGGGTATCCCCTCGGATACCACCTGTCGGTGGCATGTCGGACTCGAACCGACTAAAACCGCACGCCGTCTCGGGTACTAATAGCCGGGGAACCAGGTATACCCTAGAAAGGAGGTCCCTGGTGCCCCGACATACCTCGGGTCATCTACAGACGAGTAGACGACCCCCCCCCCGTGTGGGAAGCCCATGTTCCCTGTGCTCCCTGGAAGCGAGCGCGCTTTGCAACGCGCTCGCCGCCACACAATATAGCACTCCTAACTATAACTAGCGACTAAGGGAGCAAACCACGCAGGACAACAACACTATATAGAAAAGAAAACTTTGTAAAAATCCTAATACCAACCCGCCTGGCCAGGGAGGAATAGCAGACCACAACCTCTTCTAACGAGAGGCAATGTCCAGCAGTGGACTATTAAGTTGCAGCAGTGGCTTTTGATGATGGTAATGATGACTGCTTTATGTCTTTCTTCTAAGATTGTCAAATAATATTTAAAAAAAATTTAAACTTATACTATGTGCTACCATTACAAAGCCGGTTGCCAGTTATATTAAAATAGTACCTTGGATGCAGCGAGTGTTCAGTGCAGTAGACAACAGAGAGATCAGAGACGGGCTTTGACATTGAGGAGCCGTCAGCTAACTTCCGGAGATAAGGGAAAAGAATCGTATTTTTTTTATTATTTCCTTAAAATATAATCTTAACCGTACAAACAGTTGTACGTCAATAAATAGCGAAGCAGCCAATCACAACAAGTCGCCGTTCGTATGTAGCGACAGTAACATACTACTGTGATAGATAGACAGACAGGCACACGTGTGATAGTAAGAGCATTCCGCTTTTTTTTATTTGGACCAATGAGTCCTAAAATAGCTGAACGACCTGCAATATTTGAGACAGTACGAATAACAGATATACATGGTTGGGCTACCTCCGTTATCTGAGACCGGCGGTCCGATCACATAACAGGAAAACCGTAATTTTCTCCGGACCAGACTTAGCATACAATAAAAAACACATGTCTTTAGAAACAAAAATCATAGACAACAGAAGGTCAATTCTCGTAATAACAGTTTGATCTCAATTCAGTTCTGATCAACTTTCGATCTCACAACTTCAAAAAAAGTATTTTCGTAGTAAAATAATAAAGTATTACTAAGACTAGCAGATTAAAGATTCAATTTTCAGTTACAATACGATATAATCACATTACAGTCAACGTTGTATGTTTAATACTTTACCACGAAAATACCCGGTATGATAGTTGTTAGATCGAAACTGAATTGAGACCGAACTTTTATTACGAGAATTGGCCTTCAGATGTCTTATTAGTTTTGTAAGTATCTAAAACACAGTGACACATACTAATTTATAACTATTTCGTGCTCAACAACCGAAATTGTACTTTGATTTAGGCGGATTTAACTTATCTTATTCTATACATATCCTCAGATTCGGGTATCTCTGAGCCTAACAAAGTTTGGAAGCATTTACCAATATATTATATTATATTATATTATTATTATAGCTAGAGAGGGTAGTTAGTGAAAACTTAACATGCGATAAATCGATGTTCTACAACTTTTATTCCATATCATTAACCAATTACAATAGATTAAAATCTTTAACACTATATTTAATCCTATTCGTTACTAAATATACACAGCAATAGGGTAACTCGTCCGGCTTTCACAAACTAAGTATCACAATATTTAATAACACCTGTCTATAACTTCACAAATTCCTTCCTTCAACAGTTCATCGCGACTGCTTTATATATTCTTAACCTGGATTCCGAGAGCGCAGCCAAAACACTATTGCCATTCAACTGCGCTGAACACACATCCAATGCCGGTTCGACAGCTGGCAGAGACATAGTCCTAGCACCGTCCAAACCATTGAGATACAAAGTACTATCGCTTTCAGAATGTGCTGCGACCCACGACGCGCCAGGCGCTTTAACCCACGCAGCCCGAGTCATAATAGTAGAAATGGTTGAGCCGCTATACGTATCTTCCACATCCACTAACACGTCTCCACTCGACAAACTCTGTTTCAGCCTGCACACTGTCAATTTAGATCGCTCTTGTCCACTTGGTCGCGTTGACATCAACACTTTTTGGCTATCACTGTCGTAGCTCATAGACATAAAAGGTCCATCAAGAGGAAACTCTTGCGTCCCCCATCGGCGTTCATTTACTACCCACAACCAGCATTTATTCAATTGGCACGACAAGAGTCCAAAAGCTGTTGAACACAAGGATATGACAGGCGACATATCACCAGGGGATGGAAGGGTAGCTATATACCCTGAGAGGTTGCGGATATCGTACGTATGCACCGTGCCACCCACCCCTCCAACGTAGAACTCATTGGATCGAAGATGATCCCATGAACAACACCATAGAGGGAATCCCGCGTTAATAGTTACACTTGGTGAGCCCCGATCCACGATTCGAGCACAACTGTCCAATCCAACACTTAGAAGTAAATCCCTGGGCGGCGAATAAGTAATATCACGGATCGGCTTTGGATGTAGGTGTAAGAATTGCCCCAGTTTATAATCTACACAGCTGACTTTTCGGATGCCGTAGCCAGGGAAGAGATTATTAGTGCTCTTTTGGGACACGTAGAGCTCATAGGTCCTACAATTATAAGTCATAACCCTACACCCGCCATCTTTAGAAATTTCCAAGTTCTTCTCTAAGGCAAATCTCCAAGACTTTTTCACAGGCTCCCTAGTGATCTGAGACTTCATTAACGTAGTCCGTAATACTTCCAATTGCAAAAGACATGCGCGATGCGCTATTTTCGTCTTTTGAAGCTCCAAAACTGTCCTGCTCTTTTCTGCTTGCACAGTCTCAAGCTGTTTCTGAAGTGCAGTGATCTGCGAAGTGTCTGCGGCCACCAGCCGTTTCGCATAAATGAAACGGAGATCTTTCATTACCGCTTTACTCTTACATGTAGGACACGAGCCCTCCTTAGGAGGTTGTGCTTTTAACCATCGCCTAACGCATTCTGCACCGAAAAGGTGACCACATTTTAATGAAACTAACCTATGATCTCCAGAATTACCCCAAGCATCTAGACATATTGGACAGGTATCTCCATCTATCTCTTCGTTTTCTTGTGAAGAGTTGACTTTCCTTACTTTAGCGGGTGGTTCGTCACACTCAGATTTCTTTCTTGTTTGCGATGCAGGTATAGATAGATTGGAATCTTCTGTGGCTACTGAGATAGGGTTGCTATCTTCATTATGCATTGGCACTACATTACTTATATTACTATCTTGATTTAGAACTATTGGGTTATTATTTTCTGATATGGGTCTTTCATCATCCATGGAATTTTCATCACCAGTTTCGTATGTAACTCTACGTCTAACATGGTATATAATTGATGAAGAGTCATTGCTATTTTCGTTGTTAATTTGAGGGGGGTTTTGCTGGATGCCATCATTAGATTGCTCTGGTTCAGTGTAGGTGTCTGAATTTTCTGAATTCTGCTCACCTGTAGCTGGATCCAGAAGTTGATTGGTTGGTTCTCGTTGTGTTAGTATTTGATCTTCTTCATCGTCGTCTTGACCTGTAGGAGAGTCGGGATCTAGGAAATTTGGACTTCTTATAGATGCTGGTGTATGGATTCTCGGTGGCCCTATATCAGATGATGAAGGGTCTTGATTAATGTTCATTCTGATTCATTGGGTTGACCTGCAAGTAAATAAGGTATGATCATCATTAGTGACTAGCATTGTACGGGAAGTCTCTCAGGTATTTCAAAGGTTCTTTAGTTCTTATTCAAAACCGGCAGTTCCCTGCAATGTCACCTGCGTTTTTAGTTGGTTGTTGTTACCACCACCATGTTAGCTTTCATACAAAACGTCAGAGAGAATAATCCAAAAACAAACAATCATAATATATTCACACATTTCAGACACGGCCGTCTGATCCCAAACTATACAGGGCCTGTACTATGGCAACCAGACTGCTGATAAACATACTTATATATTTATAAATACATACATATAATAGATAAAGTACACAAATACACATGCCAAATGACCATGCTCATCACACAATTATTTGTCCTGGGTGGTAATCAAACCCACAACCTCTGGTGCAGCAGTCAGGGTCACTAACCACTAGACCAACAGGCCAGTCGAACATCATAAAAATTTGAGTGAGTTATACACCATTTGGTGTAACTATTCCATCTTTGTTCTATTTATTAGATAAAGGCAAATTAATTTAATTAATGAAAAAACAATAGTTATAAGACATAAGCAGTACAGAAACAAATTTATTAGGACTAATATTTTTTTATTTACATTATTAAGTTTTTAAAGATTAAAATTTTCCTGTCCATTTCCCACTTTTATCTACTACTGCAGTAGCTCATAGGGTACCTTCCCATGATTGAAGAGTCCACAAGGATATGGGCATCAACTCAGACCCTACTAATAAGTCAATCTCTTAAAGTATCTAGGTGGACTTAATCAGTAACCATCTGTAAGTAATATAAAGGTGGAGTTTGTTAGTGTGTGGCTTTGTATGTTTGTTAACGCTTCATGCTCAAAAGGCTGGCCTAATTTTGATTTGGTAACAATAATCGATTAGTATAGAGGTAGCTGATTTGATTAATATATAGGCTATTTGCTATACCAAAAACATGTTGTGTTCCTGTGGTCAGAATTATAGCCAGTGTCCCTATATCCATCCTAACATTAAAAATAAATGTAAAAGTGGGTCTGTCTATCTGTTACCTCCTCATGCTTAAACCGCTGGACCAATTTAGATGAAATTTGTTATAAAGATAGTTTGAATCCCCTGCAAGGACTTATCCTTCAAGGAGATGAAAAGATTGGTGAAAATTTGTATCGGGAAACAATAACCGCTAAACCGATTTCGATTAAATTTGGTATGGAGATAGTTTTAATTATGGTGAAGCACCGGTCCGGACCGGAACCGTGATAATCGACAAACAGAGAAAGTTAGAATTTAAATATGTTAAGTAATTTTGAAGTTATTGTGTAATAAAGAAGAAACATACATTAAACTTGAAAATCATTCCACTCTTTTTGGCCGATCATGTAAAAAGATGTAGTATTTGGCTACTAGATGTCTGTGTATCAGAGGTTGCATATAATGTACTCAAAATATCTTTGTACTAAGCCGTTATGAAGGATTTCCAGCTTACAGAAAACCTCAAATAGATAATTTTACTAGAATAGTCCAAAAATGCAACAAATTACAATTGTGTTGTGTTGGTTTTTAGTAAACAAGTGATGTTTTAATTAAAACATTGTATAATCTTCTTGATTTCCAACAAGATTATACAATGTTAAAAGCGCGGGAATAGGCAACAGCTTTTCACTTCAGGCCCAATAATTATGAATATTTTGATAATGGAGATGATCAATTATTCAGATTTTATCATTTTTACACATACCTATATAAAAGTCGTAGTACATTAAAAAAACTTGTCAAAAGACGGAAAAATCTTTTTATACTTTTAAACAGAAAACAGTTTGAGATTTTTACCGTTGAAGATTACTTAGGAGATATTTATAAAATATAAATTTGTAAAATACAAATAGATCATAAACATACATAACAAACATTTGAAAATGCTAACCTTAATAAGACAAAAAAATAACATTACAGTAAAACACCGCCACTAAATGTCAGACTTTTTATACAAAGTTACCATCACAAATTATAACTATTATGATTTAAAACTTTTATTGTACACGACAGTTTCCATCAAAACAATTTACTTGAATTATTTTATTGCAAATTCTGCAAAGCATTTAAATTGACTGAAATATGAATCTGACACCTGACAGCTGTTAAAAGTTAAAAGACAACGATCGGATACTGCAAAATTTTTATTTCATTTAAAATAACTTATTGAACAATAAATTGTAACACTAATAAACAAACATATTAAATTTTTGTTTTATAATTTATATATTTATTTATTTAAAGTATACGAAAAGCTTATAAAGCAGTAATCTTTACATAATAATATAAATAGAATTTTAAAAAGATAAAGAAATGTACGTGTGGTGACGGATTAAGAATACGAATATCACCACCCCTATTCATCCCGTGGGTGTCGTAAGAGCCGACTAGGCAAGATAACAGCACTGCAAAGAGAAGGAAAACTTGAAACAAACCCTACTCGAACCCGTCTAGCCAGCGTGTTACAGTAGGCCTCTATTCTAAGGAGAGGCCTATGTCCAGTAGTGGACTACTAAAGGCTGTTGATGTGATGATGTAATGTGATAAATTAAAGAAAATGTAAAACAACCTTTAAAACCAAAAAAATATTTATAAGACAATCATAATTGTTAAAGAGATTTACATTCAAGTGTTAGAAGAAAACAAAACCGATAATGCTTAGCGTAGCTTAATAGTCTGTGGTGACTTCCACATTCGGCGAAACGAGAAGAAATATAACATACGAAACAACTGCTAATCCTGTATCGCGATTAGAGTAATACACGACTATTATAATTTATATATAACTTCCCCATAGGCCACTCCCCGCCTGAAATGATCCCCTCACCTGAGGATCCTCCCTTTGTGTTGCAGTTACATGACACCCGTTCATCTACACGTCCATTCGCGAAAATAGTGACACTAGTGACCCATTAGCATTAAATCGTGGCAAAAACTAGTGTAAAATAAACTCTCACTAGACGTCCAGTTGTAGAAGATAAGTCACACATCACATCACATCAACAGCCTTTAATAGTCCACTGCTGGACACAAGCCTCTCCTTAGAAAGGAGGTTTTGGCCTACTATACCACGCTGGCCAGACGGGTTGGTATAGGGTTTGTGTCAAGTTTTCCTTCTCTCTGCAGTGCTGTTGTTCTGCGTAGTTTTTTCCCTTAGTCGGCGACCGGAGAGATACCACAACGGCAAAGTACTTGCGTCGGTGTTAATCAATTCTTTCGTTGCATTTCAACGAATTAGTGACGACATAGGAAGCCTAAACCTCCTTGATTCTGGAAACTCGAAAGGACTCTTGAAGTGCAGTCGGCAATAGGCGGCAATATAGTAGCAGTAGCAGTCATTGACTGTACGGTGGTATGTCTACTAGTTTGCCCCGTTTTTTTTTTCTGTGCGGAACTCCCCTCGGATACAATCCACCAGTAGGTGATTATGTCGGACTCGAACCGACCAAAACCTCACGCCGTCTCCAGTTACCAGTAATCGGGGAATTAGGTATACCCTAGAAAGGAAAGCCCTGGTAACCCGGCCTTACCTTAGGCCATCTACGGCTTATAAATGACCCCCTCCTGTGTGGGAACCCGGATGTTTCCTTCCTACCCCCAAAGGGCGTGCGTGTTCCGTAGCGTATCGCGCTGCCACCCATCTCGGCCTGCTTCTGCTAGATTGCCCCTTTTTTTAATTAAAAAAAAAAAAAAGTTTGCCCCCTATATGATACAAAGTTCCCTATGCTCCTCTTTATATATACGTAAATTATCCAAAGTTAAAAAGACAAATAAATTTTGGTAAGGTTTTTAATTGAATGCTGTTTGAAATCTAGAAATTATTTGTAAAAATTCATAAACTTTTTCTTTTATAAATTAGAAATGTATACAAATTATTAACATTTCAAGAAAGAGATAAGAATATGTCGAAACATGAATCTTATTGGTGAAAATAATAACAATGTCACAAACATGACCAATGAAAAGTCCATTTGGAATTTTGTCCAATTGGAATTTCGGGAATCAAGTTGGCAACGTGATGTATTTATTTATCTGCCTGTCAGTTGGCAGCAGTGTCAGAAAGGCAGTGGCACAGGGTGGCGTAGCGGGTTGCGCCCATTCCCGTTTTTAACATTTTATTACATTACGAGCTTGTATCTGTGACTTATTTGTGTAAAGTTGTTATAAGTCAATAGTGATAAGTGTTTTGAGTGAATAAGGAAACGTTATGGACGCCTTGTGAACAATGAAATCGTGTTTAACAAGTTGATGGACGTTGTTATTTAATGGCGTCGACTACCTAATAAAATCGAAATGTTTCTGTGAAAACTTCAAATAATCGGTCTAATCTGCTGTGATGTGTTTTGTCGTTGGTTAGTACAAGGTGTTTAATTATTGAATCGTACGCGGCAATCTATTGATCATTGTACATCTTCATGAAATTCAGTAACAGTGTCTGAAACAACAGAAACCTGCCCTAGAATACACTTAATCGTCATTTTAGTGATTAAATCTGTGTAAGTAGGTCGTTCAGCACGTGTGTTAGTCAATATCTTTGATATTTCACTCGTTCAGAGCTGTGTTGACATTTTAACATCGAAAATGTCGCAAGCGAATCTGGGTCAGATAGTTTGGGGTCAATTGCGCGCGCATGTGACGTCACGGCCTCCCCTGCACACCCCCGAGTTCATTTCACTTTCAGTGTACACTAAATATGTTAAATAGGGCGGCCAGGTCATGAAACCAAGGAGGCTGGATGCATTGACTACCTTTGTGTCAGGTATTTTTAGCGTTTGTTTATGGTTTGTGTGTAGTGCTTTGACACATTTTTGTTAAACATATATAATATTATTTTAGTTGTCTATTATACATGGGTTACCAATAATTTTTCTCAATTTATTTTATTTTATCATTTTATTTCATTTTATGCAGTTAGAGTGCATATGTACTTGCTGAAGGGGCGTTATCATGTCATAGAACCCTCTCATTTTCAGCAACCATTTGTTCCATTTGTTTTATAGTTGAGGTGCACTCATACTGTCTCGAAAGCCTGGCTTCATTTAAAAATATATTAAAATACCTTAGCAACTCTGTAGATTTTTAGTCCAGGGTTACTTTGAATTTCCAGAATAAAATTCCTAGTCTTTTAAGGTAACTGAACACTTATCCAATCCTTATATTTTTACAGAACCCATAGAGATGCAGTTATTTTCATTTTCCCTCCACACTTCAAAAACTTTCCCAAAATTATTACTTTTATATGGTACATAAACATACACACATAAGGGCCAGAGGGGTTACTGACCTTATTTATCAACATCAACAGCCCTTAACAGTCCACTGCTGGACATAGGCCTCACCTTAGAAAGGAGGTGTTGACCTACTGTACCACGCTGGCCAGACGGGTTGGTCTAGGGTTTGTTTCAAGTTTCTTACCTTAGTGTCCTTCTCAAAACATAATTTGTATTATGTCTGAGTATATCATGTCTGACTGCACGTATAGTGTAGTAGTTTAAGCGGTCACCAGACCACTTACTATTACGCTGAGTGTTGTGGGTTCAATCCCCACATGGGATGACAATTTATGTGATCCACAAATTGTTGTTCTGAGTCTGGTGTTCTTTGTGTCCGTTTCATGTATATTTTTAAAATACCCGGGATACAGGATATATTCCTAATGCAGTTGTCTTTTTTAAAAGCAATTATTTCAAAATATTTGTATTATGTACCTAAATATATCCAACATTATAAGTAATTGACAGACCTGTTTTATTCCCAGGACTAATAATTGTGTGATAAACAAAATTGATTGTTCTATGTAGGGTGGGGGAGTCATTTATCTTCAATATGTTTGACGACCGGATGGCGTAGTGGTTTGTGTAACGGACTGCTATTCCAAAGGTCACGGGTTCGATTCCCGCTCAAGTCAAACATTTGTGTGTATGAACATTTGATGTTTGATTTGGTCTGGATGTTTCTATGTATAAATGTATGTATTTACAAAAAGAAAAAGTATATATGTATTTATATCAGTTGTCTAGTACCCATAGTACAAGCTCTGCTTAGTTTGGGACTAGATGGTGTTGTGTGTATGTGGTAGAATATATTATATTTAGTAATATATACAAGTATGTTCATCAGCAGTCTGGTTACCATAGTGCAGGTTCTATCTAGTTTTGATTGTGTTTGTCTTGTGTGTCAGTTAATAACACAACAACTAAAGAAAACAAAAATTCTCCTCGTTCAAACAGCTTATTAAAAAATGCACTTCTTATACAATATCAATAACTAAAATTAACATTTCATAATAAATAGGTAAAGTTTTAACTTAAAACTGTGTTGTTTGTAAATTCATCTTATTAAGAACCAACTAAAAGTTTAAAAAAAAATTGCACAGGAAGTACTCAAGCCACTGACGAGTTACTGTGAAATTATCTAGTATATTATATAAAAGCTTATTTAAATTTAACATAAAAAATTATATCTAACCATATTATGTATGCATTATTATGAAATGAATATTTTATAGTTTAGGTTATAAAAAATTTCATGCACGGAGAATTAAAGATTTGATTTTTTATTTCTGTGCAACATAATCACTTACGGCATCATATTTATACATTAACTAGCTGAGACCCACGGTGTTACCCGCATTTGTTGTTATAACCGCGGGCAACGCCGCGAGGCGAAGTTAGTCTAAAAAAAGTAGCCTAAGTTACTCCTTATGTCATCAGCTATCTGCCAGTGAAAGTCCCGTCGAAATTGGTCCAGCCGTTCCAGAGATTACCTGGAACAGACAAACATTGTAAAAAATGTTATTTTGGCATATGTACCGTGTAAACATACATATGCATTTAGTAAAAAGCAGTTATTTTAATATTACAAACAGACACTCCAATTTTATTTATTTGTATAGATGATTTTGATAATATTTTACTACCAGGTAACTCTCTATATAAGAAGTAACTTGGGCTAGTTTTTCTCTCAGAAAAACCCTGTCAACAAAAATGTCTGGTCAAATCAAACCAAGGCCTCGTGGACTGCAGTTGCATACCATACTACACCAATTGTTTTTTATGAATTCTACAAATTGAACAAACATGTTCAATTCTAATTCCATGTGAACGAAGTTTTGGGTACTAGGTAGTAATAACTAAATCTTAAAATAAATCCATGTTATCTCTAGCGAGGAGTAAGAAGCATCTTCTGACTTACTGATATGTCAGTTACCACAGCAGCAATAGTGGTCATTTACAGAAAAACTGTTATGCTCTATGGTAGATATTAAATGTCAATATTAATTCTTCTTTGCCTGGCCCTTTCCCATTTTATTTGGGGTTGGCCCTCTGTATCATGTGTCTCCAGGCAGCTCGGTCCTGGGTATTCTCTTTGTTGACTTGCTCTTCTTTGGTTCTTATTTACTATGGACATCAATGTAATTCGGAGTCTTCCTCGTCCTCGGGGTTTAGTTTCGATATCTAGCACTTTTCTGGTCATGTGGTTGGATGGTCGCCTCATAACGTCTCGTCTCGGCTCTCTTGTAGTTTATCTGGGATAGTTCTCTATTATATATCTCTATAAATTTCAATATGAATTATTATCTATATATATTTAAGAGATTTCCACGTATATAGTCACTCATCACGAAATCTCTGGAACCATTAGAGCTAAAGACTTGAAACTTGGTAGGAATATTCTTTTCACCGAGTAGAGGTCAGCTAAGAACGGATTTTACGAAATTCGAAAAAAAATAAAAATTAAATAATGTAAATAGCAAAACAACGTTTGCAGGGTCAGCTACTATAATATAAATGAATGGTTAACTTTTAAAAAGTATCACACACAAATTCCTATGTAATTATATTTTTTGAATTGATATAATTATAATTGTATTATGTAATTACGTGTATCTATTATTTCTATTATCTATTTTATTTAACATACTCTAAAATTACATCAATGGTGTCATAATTACGTGAGGCGTTCAGCGGTGGGGGGGGGGGGGGGAGGGTCGAGCAAGTCTCATCTAATCTTACTTTGGGAAGAGTGGGAATCTCGGCAAATATCACGTAAGTTTTTATCTGCAAGAAACAGAGTAAAATTGTGAGAAAACTGGGGCAAATTAATTAAAACATGTACCACGGAAATATGGCCAAATCTTATACAATAATATTTACTAGCTTACTTTCGAAGCAATCCTAAATACTAGTCTGAACTAGTCTCAAATAAAAATACTAAGAAAAATATTTTTTGTTTTTTAGAATAATTTTACACTATTTTAAAAATCTTGCGTGAGATTGTCAGATGGCAGAGGTGGTTGAATCAAATATTGTGACATCTCACCAGGGAGGGAGGGGGACCCCTCGCGTGTTTAATGGATGCCCCCTAACATGTCCCATATGTACATATACACATAAAGTTAACTACTGCAATCACCTAAGGGCTCATGACAAGGCCAATCAACCCTCCATTGTCGCACGGAGTTCTACTCTTCCATTGAAAACTATTTCGTGTATCGATAGATGTACCTAAATAAAATAAGAATTGTGTGTACACAAATGTTTGTATTTACAAAAAAAAGTACATAAGTATTGTATCAGTCAACCTAACTATCATAGTACAAGCTCTGCTTAGTTTGAAACTAGAAAAACAATATAGGTTGACATATTTTGATTTTTTTAACTTTTTGAGGTTTCACAAGCAGTAAGGGTTACCTGATGGTAAGTGACTGGGCTGCTCACCTGCAACTCGAGAGTCACCAGCGCTTGCCCCCTTTTGAGTTCCTGCCTCCCTCCAGGATCAGGGGAAATTAGATATGGCTCCCGTAACATATAATCCAGTATATTATAAATATCTTGTGTCACGGTGTTTGTGTTGGCAATCCTTTAAAACGGTTCCACTGACTTTAATGATTTTTTTTGTAAATTTAGTAGGTATGAGAATAGGTTGGAAAGTATTTTTCACCCTTCTATTCCCAACCCTTATTTTTTATTAATGATCCTACTTACATTTGAAAAAAAAAAACATAGAACAACGTTTGCTGGGTCCGCTAGTATATCTATACATCTATACAAATAAATAAAATTGAAGTGTCTGTTTGTAATGTCAAAATAATAGGTTGTTTCATGCTTACATGGTTATTTGCACTATACCTATGCCTAAAAACCAGTTTAAATATTTTTTGTCTGTCTGTCTGTCTGTTTGTTCCGGGTAATCTTCAAAGTGGCTAAACTGATTTTGATAATATTTTACTACCAAGTAGCTGTCTATATAAGGAGTAATAAAGGCTATTTTTTCTCAGAAAAACCCTATAAAATTTTGCCTGGTCACGGGCACCAGCTAGTTATAAATATGTTTGGTCTGGGTGTTTCTATGTATAATATGTATGTATTTACAAAAAAAAAGTATATATGTATTTATATCAGTTGTCTAGAACCCATAGTACAAGCTCTGCTTAGTTTGGGACTAGATGGGGTTGTGTGAATGTGGTACAATATTTTTATTATTTTATTTATTATTACATGTGTTGTCTAAATATAAAAGTGCTCAAATCATGAGGAAGTTTTAGATGTTTGAAATGATAAAATAATGTAGTGTGTCCTTCAAGTAGGATAACAGAAGTGGGTTAATTACATTTGAGGCTTATCTAAGTTTGTTTTACACTCCTGACACGGTTATTACACATGTGGGTATTTTAGCAATGCCCCACTACCACAACGTCATAGAAAACCGATGTTTTTTTTGTTTTTAATTCTTTTTTTATAAAAGACACCCGCATACAAATAAATAAAATTGGAGTGTCTGTTTGTAATATTAAAATAACCGCTGTTTACTAAATGCATATGTATGTTTACACGGTACATATGCCAAAATAACATTTTTTACTATTTTTGTCTGTCTGTCTGTTTGTTCCGGATAATCTCTAGAATGGCTGGACCGATTTCGACGGGACTTTACTGGCAGACAGCTGATGACATAAGGAGTAACTTAGGCAACTTTTTTTAGACGAGCTTCGCCGAGCGGCGTTGCCCACGGTTTTAACAACAAACGCGGGTAACACCGAGGGTCTCAGCTAGTTAGGAATATATCCTGTGTCGCGGGGGACTTTACAAAGATACATGAAACGGACACAAAGAACAACCAGACTCAGAACAACTATTTGTGGATCACACAAAGTGTCGTCTCATGTGGGGATTGGAACCACAACACTCAGCGTAGTAGTAAGCGGCGTGACGACCACCGAAACCACTACGCCATCCGTGATGTAAACCTAAAAATCAACGGTTAAAGATTATTAGTTATATTATATAAAATATTATAAAGCTGAAGAGTTTGTTTGTTTGTTTGAACGCGCTAATCTCAGGAACTACTGGTCCGATTTGAAAAATTCTTTCAGTGTTAGATAGCCCATTTATCGAGGAAGGCTATAGGCTATATATCATCACGCTAATACCAATAGGAGCGGAGCACCAATGAAGAATGTTTCAAAAACGGAGAAAATTTATTACTATTGAGAGACGCAGACGAAGTTGCGCGGGTCAGCTAGTATTATATAAAAAGGAGCCTGCATCTGCCAGAAAACTTTTCACTGAGTGAATGAGCTTACTAGAGCCCAAAGCCTCTCAATCTTTTTTTTTCGCCTGTGCCCACCCATTGACTCGAATCCACCAAAAACCGCACGCAATATCCAGGCACCAGTAGCCGGGAAACCACGTCACGTAAAATTGGTACCCAGAATCTAGGGGAGGACTGAAAGGGCGACAACGCATTTGCGACTCTTGAGTTAAAGGCGTCTATGGATAGCGGTAGTCACCTATCAGGCGACTCGTATGCTCCTTTGTCCCCTATACGATAAAAAAAAGCCCAACCTTCTTTTCTCTTAATTCTGGGGAGGAGACACTCAAAAGTTGCCTAATATATGTTGTGTAACGTCTGTCATCTCACCTAACATCTGAAGACCGATTCCAGCACCGCGCGCTACCATTAGTCAAATCAAATATTGCGCAGTCCACCCCGCGCTAGCATTAGTCAAATCAAATAGTGCGCAGTCCACCCCGCGCTATCATTGGTCAAATCAAATAGTGCGCAGTCCACCCCGCGCTATCATTGGTCAAATCAAATAGTGCGCAGTCCACCCCGCGCTATCATTAGTCAAATCAAATAGTGCGCAGTTCACCCTGCGCTACAATTGGTCAAACTAAATAGTGCGCAGTCCACCCCGCGCTATCATTGGTCAAATCAAATAGTGCGCAGTCCACCCCGCGCTATCATTGGTCAAATCAAATAGTGCGCAGTCCACCCTGCTTTCTGTTAAACACCACCTTTGTGTTCTTTTTTACCACAATGCCAAGGAAGGGTTATGTTTATAAATTTCTTTATTATCTCGTATCTTTCAAATTCTGGATGGATTTCGACAGTTAAGGTATTGTTTTATTTACTCTATATCTGTACTGTGTTTCGGTTTCCTAAGAAAGGCAGGAGTAGCGAGGTTTAATAAGACATCATACCTACAGTAAAAATAGATAAATGCTGATGATGTTGTGTTGTGGCAGGCGGTGCAGGCGCGTGCATGGCGCGGTGATGGCGGTGGCGGGCGCCCCATGAGCCGGCTGCTGTGCTGTCTGCGCGCGCGCCAAGCCGACATGGGCGCCGCGCTCTCGCACCCACAGGTAACCAACCCCTAATACATGACATACCATTATGATTTCAAGGATTGTGATTAAATGCTGCCGGGTTCGTAACTTAACTGGTACAGTATACACTAAATATATCTTTTCGAAAATATAAAAAGGTAAAATGGACAAAAACAGCTAAACAGTAAGATGATTAAACATGTACATTGTATCGTACAATAGTACGTTCTCTATTGATGACATTAATATCGCGATCTGCTACAGATGAGTGATATTGTACAGCGCCATCTCTTGACCTGTTGTGGTATAGTACCTTAACAGGTCAAGATATGGCGTTTCGATTATGTGTTGTTTCGATATTTCGATTCGTTTATGTGTTCGAACAAGATTATTGGTGAAACAAATTTAATTATGTGTGGCGACTCCCACATACAAAGAAACAGAAACATACTACAGCGCCATCTAATGAAGACACACCGAACTACGGAGAATAAATAAGAATTTCTAATCCTGTATCGCGATATGAAGAATTCCCTCGCCGATTAGCATATATACAACTTCCCAACATCAACCGCCAGTCATGATCACCTCGCCTGGTCCTAGGATCCTCCCTTTGTGTTGGAGGAACAAGACACCCGTTCCTCCACATATGCAAATGTATTTAGTTTAAATACAAGAGGGTTATAAAACAGCCCGATTGTATGGTAGATGTGTATTTGTAAGTTTTAAAGGATGAATGTTGCTTTCCTGCAGGAGGGCGAGGCGTGTGACGGCGTGCCGGCCGCGCCTCCCACTATGGCTGACGTCATACGGTGAGTTACCCACCGCAGCGATTTATTACATAAATGCCCTAAGCAGTATGCAGATACGCCTTGGCAAAATATTCATGAGCCTATAATACTCCACTGCTGGACATAGGCCTCTCCTTAGAAAGGAGGTTTTGGCCTACTAAAAGTTATATAGTGTTGTTTATTTACAAGATGAATCAATGACATAATGAAGTTTATCAATTTCTCTTTATGTTTGTAGAAATCTCACAAGTTTTCATAGCATACTTCAAGTAAACATAAATCACACATCACACATCAACAGCCTTTAATAGTCCACTGCTGGACATAAGCCTCTCCTTAGAAAGGAGGTTTTGGCCTACTATATAGGGTTTGTGTCAAGTTTTCCTTCTCTCTACAGTGCTGTTGTCCTGCGTAGTTTGCTCCCTTAGTCGCCTCTTACGACACCCACGAGATGAATAGGGGTGGTGACACTGTATTCTTAATCTGACACCACACATAAAACATAAAAAAAAAACATAACAGTCAGCCATCTTCAGTCAGTCAGATACCTTGTCAGTCTGACAACTTTATCGTTTGAATCTGTGTCACGTTTCGGCACAATAGCTTCTGAACTGTAAGTCCTATCAGTATCTTTTTATTAACTACTAGTGCCCGCGACTTCCTTCGCGTGGAATTTGAAAAGCGCTGCCTTAGTGAGTTCGATTCCCGGACCGGGCAAAATTAAAAACCTAGTAGTATAATATTGTCAAAATCCGTCGAGCCGTTTTAAAGATTACGCGGATCAAACAGGCAGAGAGACAAAAAATATTTAAATTGGTTTTTAGGCATAGGTATCGTGCAAATAACCGTGTAAGCAAGAAATAAGAACCTATTATTTTGACATTACAAACAGACACTTCAATTTTGTTTATTTGTATAGATCATAATGATAGTCGAGCCACATTTTTGTATGCAACACTATGACGTGACGTCTTACCTAAGTATTGTCGAATCATTTATATTCAGTGCTGATTTGAAGATTAATATAATAAAAGCCGTGTGGTGTCGTGGGACACCTGATAGGAACGAAGTTGTGACGATCGAGTAAAACTGATTCGACACGATTTTAATTACAACGCCATCTATGAAAGCAGCTATTACCTACATATTTTTCAGTTGGTTTCTAATTAAAACAATTTATACATTGGTAAAATCTCCTTGAGAAATGATTTCCTATCTATTCGATAGATGGCGCTGAATGACTGACAAGTGACAATTCAAAATAAATACTGAGATGAAAAGTAATGATTTCCTATCTATTCGATAGATGGCGCTGAATGACTGACATAAAAAGTGTCGTTACAACTTTTCGTGAGATTTTTTTCCTTCTAGCCCCCTTTCACAACGCGCGATAAGGAACTTCGTTCCAAAAACATTCAATTAATAATGGAGAACAATCCAGACTGCGCTTTAAGATGTTACGTTGAATGGTCATAAACCTCCTATCTGAGAAGAGGCCTATGTAAAGTGAGCTGTTAAAGGCTGTTGATGATGAATGATTCAGGCGAAATAATTTATTTTGGATTAGATTTTTCCCGCGGCTCCGCCCGCGTGTATGTCGGTTATTGCTCGCTGATAATGTAGCTTTCCATTTGACGGGCCTGTCGGTCTAGTGGTTAGTGACCCTGACTGCTATGCTGGAGGTCGTGGGTTCGATTCCCACCCAGGACAAATATTGTGTGATGAGCACGGTCATTAGTTCTGTGTCTCGGTGTAATTTATCTATAATATGTTTGTATTTAGAAATATATAAGTATGTTGATCAGCAGTCTGGTTACCATAGTACAGGCTCTGTCTAGGTTGGGATCAGACGGCCGTGCGTGAGATGTGTCAAGTAAAACAAAAAATTTAAATATCAAGATTAATACAGAAGTATGGAAGTAGCTGTACTTCAGCAAACCAACTTCTTTGTTCTCTGTTTTGGAACCTCCACCTTCAACACCACCGAGCCGTGTGTGAGATGTGTGAAATTATTATTATTATTATTGGTGAAAGGGTTTTAAAAATCGGTTTAGTGGTTTAGGCGTGAAAGCGTAACCAACAATCAAACTAACTTTCACATTCATAAGATAAGTATGGATATAGAAATCTATATTATTGAAGAAAGTCTGTCCTGACGTTCCAAGAGCATCATTATCATCAGAATATCGCCGTCCACTGCTGAAAGATGATTAAAAAGCGCCCACTATACCAGTCTTGGCCAGTGCATCCATTATTTTAATAGCATGAGTTCTTTTTCAAATCTTTAAATTATTAAGTTGGTATGTGTACGCTGAAAACACCAAGTTCTACACAGATTGACCTCAAATTTGCCACAAAATATTTTGTTCAATAGAGCAAGCTGAAAGCGTGATGCCAGGTGCAAGAGAGAAAGCCGCCGAGAGGCCCCCTCTTGCTGTCTCTCTCCAATCCATTAAGAACACTGCATCGCGCATGCGTTTCTGATTACAAAAAGACAAGAGGGGACCTCTCGATAGCTTTCTCTCGCTCACCTGGCATCACTGCAGAGTACAGGGCTAGGTGGAGATAGCTTCTCATTTCACGTCAATGTGCCACAGCCAAGCGCGGCTGGGTATACCTAGTAATTTAATAAATAATGATTATATGTGATGTTGCAGAGAGAGAAAGAAGAAAGCAGCCGGCTCTGGATTGGGCACGTTGCGGCGTCGGATAGCGCTCGTCCGAAGGCCGCGCGACAACCGCCCTGACAGAGGTACCATTCAACACTATTTCTCTAATTATCTAAATTAACTGCCTCGGTGGCGTATGTGACTGCTGTGCTGAGCATCTCGGGATCGATGCCCGGTTCGAGCCAAATGTTTGTGTGTTCTGTAAATATTTGTTTCGGAATTTGGGTGTTTTCTATGTAAAATGTGTATTTATTTACAAAAAAAAATAAGTATATAAGTATTCTATCAGTCAATCCAGCTTTTATAGTACAAGAACTGCTTAGTTTGAAACTAGATGGCGTTCTGTGTGTGTGTCTGAAATAATAATAATATATTTATATTATTATTATTTAAAAATCAGATATTATTAGACAAAATATAGCACTTCCTCTAGGTAGTCTTCGTAGGTCAGTACAATTCAGTTTGAACTACAGAGCAATAAACTTCGAAGCGACCTCGGCGATCATTTTGGACTGCGATTAAATTTTGATTATACTTATTTAAGTGTGTTGATGACGTAAGAGCCGACTAAGGGAGAAAACTACGCAGAACAACAGCACTGCAGAGAAGGAAAACTTGACACAAACCCTCTACCAACCCGTGGCCAAAACCTCCTTTCTAAGGAGAGGCCTATGTCCCGCAGTGAACTTTTAAAGGTTGTTGATGATGTGATGAAGTGTGTTGATAAAGAAGTCTCTTAGGCCCGTATTTTAAAAGGTGTCTCAGTCGTGAATCTAATCTTAAAACTGATTTTAAGAAGACATTTTATTATTGAACGTCACTCAAAACGAGATTCGACGATCTATCAAGTGTGTGATAGCTTATTTTAGAACGATGTTTATGTTGAAATCTTTAATGAAGTACAGATTTTGACAGATTTGATCATTTCACAAATTTTCTTCTAAACAACGAACCACAACACATAGGCCCTCTATCTACTTAAAAAGGAGGTTTTGGCCTACTAAACATCGCTGGTCACGAGGGCTGTGTCAAGTTTAGTTAATATGTATTTCCGTGTTCTTGAGCCCATAGATGGCGCTAATATGTAGTACTTGTCCGTCCAGGATGTGAGCACGCTCGCTTCATTCGGTCGGTGGTGTCGTCGTGGCGTTTGGCCGAGGTGTTCCTGCTGTGCGAGGAGCTGGAGGCTGGCGCTGCCTTGAGGGACCTGGCCACGCAGGCCGACTTGGCGCGGGAGCCGGCTAGGGCGCTACACGCCGACCTAGCTGCTGCTTACAAAGACAGGTACACTACTACATTTAACCCGTGCCCCAAAAAGGCAGGTTATAAGTTTAACGGATGTTTGTCTGTGACTCTTGATAGCTCCTAAACTGATCGACAGATTTTGATGTTTTTCTTTGAAAAATTACTTGATCGAGGTAGGGTTATTTTCACTTTATATATTTTTAAATATGTTTATAAGTTTTTTGGCGCTTACAATCTCTTCTAATCAGACATTGGATCAAAAGAGAATCATAATGCACAGATAGCGTAGTGGTTTAGCTCACTTCGCCATTTTCTAATTTACCACAAATTCTTGTCCTGAGTCTGGGCGTTCTTTGTGTCTGTTTCATGTATGTTTGAAAAGTCCCTCCGACTTCATTCGTGATTTTAATATGCTTTTAATATATGTTGTAGAGGTTCAAATAACTAGTGTTCTTTACTATATTGTCAAATTCGCTTCTGACGAACAATATCAATGTATTCCATAAACGAATAGCTTAGTTTCCATAAACGAAAGTATGTTTGTAGAACTTGTGGAATGCGGTTGCAATTGCAACTATCTCAGACAACTTTGGACACCTTTACTGTGTGTTGTGCTCATATTACTGACAGTGGCTTGGAGTGGTGTTGATATTGGTATTATATCCCAGATGGTGGTGTGACGTGGAGCTGGTGGGGAACGGCTGGTCGTTAGGTGCTCACCGCGCTATACTGGCCGCGCGGTGTACCTATTTCCGTGAGCTGCTGCAGCGGTACCCTCCGTGAGTATCTCAACTAGAGTGGAAGTGATTTTGTGTGTTGTCGTCTGAATTGCTTAATTGATGATTGTGAAAATTTGCCTACCTGCTGTTCCCAGAATAAAAGTTATATAAGTACAAATTAATCTGTATGTATATGCTATTTGTGAGTCACAACTATTTGTGATCTTGCTGAGAATAGGAACCTTGGACGATTCATCGTGGCGTAGGGCTACTCCCCTTACCAGGGATTTCGTTTCTAGGGTACACCTGGTTCCCCGGCTATTGGTACCCGAGACGGCGTGCGGTTTTTAGTCGGTTCGAGTCCGACGTAGTTACTGGTGGGTGGTATCCAAGGGTATTTCCGCACAGAAAAAAAAAATGGCTACTCCCCTCGCTTAAAACGATCGAATTACTTAATAGGGGGTAAGACTATTAAGTACTGGGCATTGAGTATTATCTCATAATAAGCGTAAAGACCACCGGCCCATTTAGGTATTAAAAGCAAGGTAGTTAATACTTGTACAGGTGTATCGGGGAACGGAAGCAGAAGTTGGATCAGGTCAAAGTATATTGTGGTGAAGTATAGATCAGGGAAGAACGGGTAACAGATACTAAAAGTGAGACCGGGACTGGTGCTCGTATGTTTGGCCTGTGATCGGAGTAGCTATTGGCTATTATTATGCGCCCTATATAGTAGGTCAAAATCTCCTTTCAAAGGAGAGGCCTATGTCCAGCAGTGGACTATTAAAGGCTGTCGATGATTACGTGTCCGCTCCCCGCAGGTCGTCGGTGCGCGTGCCGCTGGAGGGCGCGGGCGGGGGGCTGTCGCGCGCGGAGCTGGAGGCGGCCGTGCTGGCGCTGTACGCCGGCGCGCCCCAGGAGCCGCGCCCGCGCTGCGACCTCTGCCACAGTAACCACATTTGCCTTGCTTCTTACTTACAGCTGCTTCACTTCACAATTTGTGGCTTCGATTCCCACTCGGAACAAATTATTACGTGCATAATTTGACCTGTGCCTGGTAACCTATGTATAATACACGTTTTTTGACTGCATAGATGGCGTAGTAGTTTAAGCGGTCACCTCGCCACTTCCTACTGCGCTGAGTGTTGTGGGTTCGATCCCCACATGGGACACTTTGTGTGAACCACAAATTGTTGTTCTGTGTCTGGGTGTCATTTGTGTATGTTTGTAAAGTACCTTGCGATACAGGATATATTCCTAATGAGTAAGTTGTTTAAAAAAAAATGGTTTAAAAAATCTTTGATTTAAATTATAAAACACCTGTTTCTTTTTATTTCATTATCACTCAGTACAGGCATTTGAGTAACTGGCCTCACAGAATTGTCTCAAGAAATTACAACTTGTAAACAAACAGCTGATAAGGGTCAACGACCCTCGATACTACTCATTTCGTCATATTTTATAAAACTAAAATGCTCTTTCGATGATATAGGGTGAACCTGATGATGACATGGATGGGAGTCACTTACCATCAGCTGACAGTCTGGTCGTTTACCTTCCATAACATAAAGAATCTTAGTATTTGACGCCAATGGTAACGTCAAAGATCCTCTTTGTGTAATAGATACGAGGGACTAATCCTTGTCTGATGTTTCCAGAGTGGGACCGCAACCTGGCTGCCGACGGTGACCTGGACATCATCAATGTGGATGGAAATAACTGTAAGTAACCGAATAGGGGGAAACTGTCATTAACTTGCTTGTTGGTCTAGTGGTTAAACTGACTGCTCGTATCCAGAGGTCGTAGGTTTGTTTGAAAAGTGGTATTGTAATGTATTTATTATTTATTTATTTATATCTTTATTGTTTACAATTAACACATAAGATACTTACAAATATACAGACGTAGAATATGTATGCATTCACAAAAAAAAAGTATTCTAGCTGTCATAGTACAAGCTCTGCATCATGACGTCATATGGACGGGAAAATTGAACATCCTGGAGACATGCCCCGTCCTCCGACCAATCAGGTTCCAAGCTTTCGTACGAACAGATACTTCCTTGGAACCTGATTGGTCAGGGGGCGGGGCTTGATCGTTGCGTCACTATTTTCTCAACGCGAATAAACTATAATCAAATATGAGAGATCAAATTTTATGAAAACTTGTGCATTTCTGTTCGGAAATACCAATTTTGGGTTTTATCAGGCATTTCTTTGTGCCCCACAGCATGGCGCGGGACGTGGTGTGGGTGCGGGCGCTCCAGACCTGACGCAGGAACCCTGCGGCGCCTCGCCGCTCTACTGGGCTTCTCGCTGGACTCTCTGCACCACGACATGCGCTACCTGCTCGACTCTGGTAAACGCACTTTGATTGTATCTTACCATACTATATTCCAAATTGTGGAAAAAAATATACGGCAATTTTTCGGGTCTTCTGATGTTAAGTGACGGTCAAGAGTCATAAGTGCCGCCCTTTGAGTCCTCCCGTCAAAACAATCAGGGGCAGGGAGGTTTGGGCTCCGGTAACCTCACTGACAATCCGTGTGGTGAAGAATTATTAAGAATACGAAGTGTCACCACCCCTATTCATCCCGTGGGTGTCGTAAGAGCCGACTAAGTAAGCAAACTACACCACTGCAAAGAGAAGGCAGACTTGACAAACCCTATACCAACCCGTCTGGCCAGCGTGGTATAGTAGGCCAAAACCTCCTTTTAAGGAAAGGACTATGTCCAGCAGTGGACTATTATAGGCTATGCGGCTTCCTTCTAGAGACCGCGGCTGCCCATTCCTCTCCATTCACCAGCATTGCCGCGATCAAAGCTAGTTATGAGAAGTTAATGGTCACTGGCTAAGTGAATGGACAAAGACCACGTCGGACTGACCAGATCTGCACCAGTAACCAGTCTACGATGCTTTACATTGAGGCGCTACATACAAAAGACATGGCATCGAGTGATCCACTGCAGACTCTTGCCACAAGGAGGCAGTCACGACCCTCAGCATTGAGGCAACCGCCGTGAGGAGGAGAAGCTTAACGGCTCTGGAAGTTAGACCGTTATCCGCGGGTAAGGGTCGCCACGCCGGCGGACAGGAAAGGATAGCTGGCACATTACTGCCTATATTGTTCTTCCATAAATACTTTATTCAACGCAATTGGTTTACTCATAATTAAAATGAGTATGTTAATATTTGTCCTTTACAGGTGAAATGGCAGACGCTCGTCTAGTATTCCGCCTGGAGGGGGGGTGCGGAGCCGCGTACGGATTCCGCACGGCTCTGGAGTTGCCCTGCCACAGACTGATATTGGCTGCCAGGTCCAGGTTTTTTAGGTGAGTTTTAATATATCTTTACATGTATGTGTATTTTGGGAATGGGCTCTCTTTTTAAATTGTTATATATTATTTAATGGGCCTGTTGATCCAGCGGTTAATAATCCTGACTGCTAAGTCAGTGGTCATGAGTTCGATTCCCACCCAGAACAATAATTGTGTGATGAAACAAATAACAAGTAGTGACAGCTACCCTCCGCAACACAGTTTTTACTAGTGCGGAGGGTAGCTGTCACTACTAGCTGCTACCACTTGTTAAGATTGTGTTATTCTATCTCATTAGGTCTATGTTGCTTATGGAACAAAAATTAATTATCAATATATTTGTTATTCTGGTTTTAAGAATTATATTTACCTTTATGTTTAGCTTAAGATAAGTTATAAGTTAAATATTGTTGTAATAGCTACCTACATTCATTCATTCATTCATGAGCACGATCATTTGTCATTGTTTTATGTCTGTGTATAATTTATCTATACAAATAAATAAAATTGGAGTGTCTGTAATATTAAAATAACCGCTTTTTACTAAATGCATATGTGTGTTTACACGGTACATATGCCAAGATAACATTTTTTAAAATTTTTGTCTGTCTGTCTGTTTGTTCCGGGTAATCTCTGGAACGGCTAAATCGATTTCGACGGGACTTTCACTGGCAGATAGCTGATGACATAAGGAGTAACTTAGGCTACTTTTTTTAGACTAGCTTCGCCCCGCGGCGTTGACCGCGGTTATAACAACAAACGCGGGTAACACCGCGGGTCTCAGCTAGTCTACAATATGTATGTATTTAGTAATATATAAGTATGTTTATGAGCTGTCTGGTTACCACAGTACAGTGTGTGAGATGTGTGATAGATAATATAACTGAAAAAGTAAATGACATAAATTATTGTTGGTCTCTAGGAGCGTAATGTCCCGGCGCAGCAGCACGGCGGGCGGGGCGGCGGGGCCGGGCGGCGGGGCGGGCGCCGTGTGCGTGGACGAGAAGGTGCTGCCGCGACGGTTCGCGCGGGCGCTGCTGCACGCCGCCTACACCGACACCGTCAGTACCCGGGGGGAGACGTGACCTAGCTCCACGACCTCATAGACAACCGCTATTAGGAATTCTTCCTTGCTTTTCACTGAGTGACTGGGGTTAGGGTTAACGAAGCCCCGAAAGCCTTCCCTATTTCTTAGGAGTGAGCTCAACTGGCTCAACTGGCGCCAACACACTTGTAACTCTCTCGTGAGTAGCAAATGTCCGTGAGTGGTGGTACTCGCTTACCATCAGGCGACCCGTCTACTCGTTTGATCCCCCCATAGCATAAAAAAACTTGAACGTTTTAATCTTTACTTTTTGCGGTTGAATCATTTGTGTAAAATTGAACAGTATTTCATTGTATGTTTGTTCGCGCGTTGCAGGTGGACCTGGCGCTCATCGGGAGGAACTCCACGTCACCGTCTTCTGCCAACAGCACCGGGAGCGGTACTACGGTCAGTTTGTGAATTAATTAGTATAGTTGTAAAAAATACCTTTCAAACACTGACTGCACGTAGTGATTAAAACGGTCATCTCGTCACTTTCTACTGCGAGGAGCGTTGTGGGTTCCCCACATCTTCTCTCTTGGCTCTTTAGAAAGCAGGTTTTGGTCTACTATACCATGCTGATCAAATGGGTTTGTATAATGTCCTGCCGCGTCGCTGACGTCTGTTAGTCATTGTCTGACTATATATCTTTGAGTCACGAAAATCCCCCCGTCCTCGAGCCAATTAGGTTCCAAGCTTTCGCACAAAACGATAATTCCTTGGAGCCTGATTGGTCAGTAGGCGGAGCGATGCGTCACTATTTTCTTAACGCGAATGACGATGGAAATATTTGTATGAATGTTTCAGTCGTGGTCCGGAGTGTCCCGGGGCGGGTCGCGGCCGGTGACCGCGGCGACTCTCGACGATGCCTTCCAACTATACGAGATCGCCAGGTAACGAACACGTTCTATAATTAGCAAATAATTCGCGCTTAAATTCGCTCTTAAATAATAGTGTCAAAATTTTACTCACGGAGTAAAACTGGCAAAAAACGAGCTCTTAATTTGTCGGCAGGTTCCTGGAGATGCCCATCGTGGTGCAGGGCTGCGAGGACGCCATCGTGGAGGCGCTGTCGGCCGACACGCTGCCCACCGTGCTGCGCTGGGCCGCCGCCCCCCACGCCAGCCACTGGGTGCACAGGTAGCCACACGTTATACATAGGTTGATCATGGATTAGCTGATGGTGGAACTTTTCAGTGTCTCCCTGGGTATATAAGACCGGATGGCGTAGTGGTTTGTGTAACGGACTGCTATTCCAAAGGTCGCCGGTTCGATTCCCACTCAAGGCAAACATTTGTGTGCATGAACATTTAATGTTTGATTTGGTCTGGATGTTTCTATGTATAAATGTATGTATTTAGAAAAAGAAAAAGTATATATGTATTTATATCAGTTGTCTAGTACCCATAGTACAAGCTCTGCTTAGTTTGGGACTAAATGGCGTTGTGTCACTGTGGTACAATATTATATTATTATCTAGGTAACATTTTAGTTAGGTTTGCCATTAAAACGTGTCCATTTAAGTTTTATTTTACTATAATTGTTTAATTATTACACTAAATATTATGACTTCACGTGTGACGTCACAATTCGTTATTCCTGGTCTCGATTAGTAAATAAAAAAATTCGTTTGATTTGAGAGTCAACAGTAGTATTGATATTTAAAATATGTGATGTGTGTATTCATAGACAAGCGATGCGGTACCTCCGAGACGAGTTCCCAAGCATCATGTCTGGTGCGGGATGCGGGAGAGTGCCGCTGTCGGCTCTCGCGGACGCTCTGGCCTCGCCCTTCCTCCAGGCTAGCGAGACACAGGTGCTGAGGGCTCTGCTGCGGTGGGCCGCAGACCAGCCGGCTGATCGACGAGGTAACAACAGATTTCTTTCTGTCAAAAGTTATTGGATTGTCGCAGTTCAATACAACTAAGATAAAGAGTGATCATTTTAAAGTTTAATTTGGACGTTCATAGATTCATATGCATACAGCGTAAATAACTTGAAGCATACCAAAAATAATTCCAATGCGGCTTTGGTTTGTTTGATTGATGTTCAATGTTTGATAGTTAGGGACAGGTGTTTTAATTGACTCTTTAGTTTGTATGGGAAAGTGTTTTATGGCACTATTTTCTGGAAGAAGTGGGAAAGGAAAGTTTTATTTTATGATTTTCAATTTTTCTTTCTGTAAAAATTTAAGGGTGTGTGTAGTTACCAATATAATTTTTTTTTCGTTTTTTCACATAGATAAGACGAACATATCGCTTGAAATTGGGTATTTTTAGATTTATAAATATATGAAAATTGACAGAATTCTATGGGAGATGTAGGCTAGAAGGCTTGACATCGCTTATAATTAGGCAATAGTTCGAGTGGATGAGTTTTGACGTTATAAATGTCTGTGACAATCATAGAGTGAATAATAGCCTCAATCTTGCAATATAGGCAACGAGAGAGATGTATAAAAGATAGTTCCCTCTGTCTCTTTCTAGTCGAGCTTTTCGGTTGGCTGGGGAAGTTTCTGATCTCCCGTCGATTCTACGATCAAACCATGGCCACTCGACGATAGGCTAACCAGACAGAAGGAAGTATGTCGGTGTGTGGTGTTGCAGAGTCCCCGCTGGCGCTGTGCCGCGCGCAGTCGGTGGGGCGGCGCGGCGCGCGGCGGCGGGACGCGGGGGACGCCGCGCTACGAGACGCGCTGGCGCCGCTCGCGCCGCTGCTGCGCCTCGAGCACCTGCCGCACGACCACGACCTGCTGCACCAGGTCTCTCACTCCTAGCACTCATATTCCTCCTTTTACTCCTCGAGTCAAATTTCGAGAGATTTCTCTTCTTAAATCGATTACCCTAGATCTAATAATTTGCTAAGAAAAAGAAGTGTTATCCTCCCGCGACAGACGATTATCCTCCGACCGAATTACCAGACCTTAAACTAACAGTTGACGTTAAGAAATTGTATAAATACTAGTCGCTGTAAAAATGTTAACTGCAAGGTGCAGACTAAGGCACTATACTTTGGTATATTTCGTTGGCTTCTGATTAGGATTTGAGTTGTCAGCGAACCATTTTTTATTGAAAATAAAGAATAATTCAAAATAAATTAAACTTGTAAACCTACTATATAAACCTAAGCCATTAAAACCCAAAATGTCAATAGTAAAAATTCCTTCTTAACATTAATGGTTCTTAAATATACACACGGTACGGTAATAAGGGTGGTGACATCCCGTATTCTTAATAAAATACGGAATGTCATCACCCCTATTCATCCCATGGGTGTCGTAAGAGCCGATTAAGGGAGCAAACAAACAAAACAATAGCACTGCAAAGAGAAGAAAAACTTGACACGAACCCGTCTGCCCAACGTGGTACAGTAGGCCAAAACCTCCTTTCTAAGGAGAAACCTATGTCCAGCAATAGACTATTATAGGCTGTTGATAATGATTGATGATCTGACAAGGTACTATTCAAAATCCATAATCATAAAAAACAGTATCACAATAATGTTTAGTGTCCCGCAGGTACATTCTCGGACCGAGTTAACTTATTAACACTTTTACCAGGTGATTCGTCGAGGCATAGTCCCAGCGCCAGCAGGTGAAGGCACGGGCTTGGCGGACGCGTGGCTCGCGAGAGGGTCTTACAGACCTCCGAGGTGTTTCTTGCCTTATCTAGATGAAATTAAGGTGAGGATTTTACAATAGCATTTGAAACATAATGTTACGTCGATAGGGTACTTGTTGGGATTCTCTATCACTAATGCAATGCTTAGTGTGAATTAATTGCAACTATGTATGTCTATTAGTATTTCTGGTGTATATGGGTATACGGCGAGTCACCAACCCTATTCATCCCGTGGGTGTCGTAAGAGACGACTAAGGGACTCCTTTCTAAGGAAAGACCTATGTCCAGCAGTGGACTATTAAAGGATGTTGATGATGATGACTCCCACCGCCCATAGACACCATACCATACATACCACACCATAGACACCTGCAGTTCAAGAATCACTGTTGTATTTCGTCTTTTGAACCTTCCCTTCCTCCTCGGTAAGAGGGGGGGGAGGCTCCGGTGATCACACTCACTCGATGAAAAGTGTTATGGCTCTGGTATAGTAAGTACGGAATAAAATATCCGGAAAATGGCCCCACGGGTCTGATGATAGATAGAATAGTCGATTCAACCAAAATCAAAATGATTGAATATTTGAGAAATCGTCATCAGTGTATAGTATCAGTACTAAAGAGAAAAAGAAGGTTCGTTGAGAAACTTAAGAGGAAATTTGTTTTTAATTATTTTGTCCTTGCAATGGAAAGTCTTAACACCCTGTGTATAATATACAGAGTGTTACGGCCTTCCGCTTCTCATCTCCCCCAACTAACTTTATCAGGTTTTCAATCTATTGTGTTCAGGCACTTTTGCTTAGGGTCAACATAATTAAACCTTTAAAATAGATATGTGTTGTGGCAGGCGCTGTTGGAGGACCAAGCCGTGCCGGAGGCTGAGTTGTCTCGGGCGAGACGAGAGCGGTATCTCCACAGGATACCCGACACCCTCTACATGGTGAGTTATGATTTAATATGTGTTAGGGTTGGGGGTTGATGAACTTACAACTGTATAATAGTACCTTATTTACAACTAGCTGAGACCCGCGGTGTTACCCGCGTTGTTACCCGCGTTTGGCGAAGCTAGTCTAAAAAAAGTAGCCTAAGTTACTCTTTATGTCATCAGCTATCTGCCAGTGAAAGTCCCGTCGAAATCGGTCCAGCCGTTCCAGAGATTACCCGGAACAAACAGACAGACAGACAAAAATTGTAAAAAATGTTATTTTGGCATATGTACCGTGTAAACATACATATGCATTTAGTAAAAAGCGGTTATTTAAATATTACAAACAGACACTCCAATTTTATTTATTTGTATAGATTTACCCTCGAGGGGCTCGTGGCTAAATGTTAACCTAGCAAGTTAGTACATTGTAAAGTTCAGCAATCCTAGCCAGATCAGTTTATAGATGGGTGACTATTCTTAACACATTGAGACCCCTCTGTGCCTCGGAGAGCATATTAAGCCGTCGATCCCGGTTGCCATACGAACATCTGTGGCAATCGTTACGGGTATTTGGAGCCCTAAAGTCCGACAAGTCTTTCTGCAGAACTACGATATCGTCCAGTACTTGGGTTACTTTGATGGCAGTCGCTCCGCTAAAAAATCGTAGTTCAGCCGTATCATAGTAAACTTAAAGCCGATCCTAAGCTAGTTTGGGAAAAAGGAGGATGATGTTTCTAATTTCCTCATTTGATTGCTGCGGTCCTTTTTTGATTTATAACCGGCAAATTGTGGGCCTTTGAAACATTTCTGTCTACCCCTTTGGCACATTTCTGTCTACCCCTTTGGCGATATAGACGGTAAGTTATTTGTATGTCTGTGTTATTACCATCATTAACAGCCTATAACAGTCCACTGCTAGATATAGTTATCTTCTTAGAAAGGGAGTTTTGGTCTACTGTACCACGCTGACCAGACGGGTCGGTATAGAGTTCGCGTCAAGTTTTCCTTCTCTTTGCAGTGCTGTTGTCCTGCGTAGTTTGCTCCTTTAGTCGACACCCACGGGATGAATAGGGTTGGTGACACTAGTACACGGGTAATAACATAAGTATGTGGTGGTAGGTGGCCGCGGCCCGTAACGGCGGGCGCGAGTCGCGCGCGGCGCTGGAGGCGGCGGGGGGCGGCGGTGCGGCGGGTGCGGGGGGCGCGGCGCGCGCGTGCGTGTCCCCGCGCGTGCGCGCCGCGCTCCGAGCACGCGCCCGCCTGCTGCGCGCCGCCCCGCCCGCCGCGCGCGCGCTGCACCTGCACTCCACCGACAAGCTCACCGTCTACAAGCAGGTATGTGTCCACATCTACGGACGCCGCTGACGCTTAACGCTGTCCTCGTCGACTTCAACGAACGCTTTGTGTACCAGATAGCGTTGCGCGCCGTCCGCGAGATGTCTCTGCCGGACGCGTGCGCGGACCTGCTGCTGCCCGACCTCGATACGGACACCGACACCGACAGGTGAGACCGCCGCCGAGTCCTCACCAGGACAGATCATTGTTTTTTCAGAACGATGTCTGTTGCCTTAACTAATTTTGAATTAGAAATCTGAAAACGTAAAAATACTACTTAAAGAACGATGGCAGGTCCCCATACATAATTTCATTTGAACTGAAATGGTAGCGTTTAAATATCAAAAACGTCTAAAACACTTGAGAATTTATTCTCGACCATTCTCATAACAAAATTACTAACGAAAGAAGTCTAGGAAAAAATATATTATATTTTAAATATTTCGAGGTTAACATATTGTCGATGTTTTGTTTGAAACTAGATGGCGTTGTGTCTCATATAACAGAAAATATTATTCTCATTATTATTACTCATAAACAACCCTAGTTTGCTGTTGAAAGTGTTAGCCGACTCTCTAAAAGGGTGCAGGTTATTTTACCAATACATAGTAAAACAATAGAAAAACCTCTTCGCTCACCAAGAAGGTGTAATACTAACTATAAATAAATAAATAATAAATTAAAAATAATTATTCGAATAATTGTACTTCAATACACATTTACACAAGACAGAAGCAATTTATTTATTTATTGGACAGCTAGTAGTTGTTACATTATCTATTAAAATCTTAAGAGACAGACTATATAAAAACATAACATATGTATATGCAAATTTAACACTACATTGAAAAATAATAAAAAAACAAAGAATTGCCGTGTCATTGCTTGGTCATGAAGTCACGCGTGTGAGTGTCAAACGACAAGACTGGTGAGTGTTGCACTCGACAGGATCCAAACGGCGACGTATCGACATTTTGATAATATCGACGTATGTCTATTTATGAGATGTTTTCAACGACAATGGTTTTTTCTCATCACACTGTGCAGTATATTGTTATACTGCAAACATTGTTAAAATAACGTAACTATATTCTATTAATTTAGTCTAGCAAAAATCGTTTAAAAAGAGTAAAAAATATTCTAAATTATTTCTAATTATGTTGATTTAGTCACTCTACCGTGCGAGTGAACCCGTGGGCAGAAGCAAATTCATAAACGTAAAAGGTGAACCTGCGATAGATATTTCAGCCCAAGCTATAAAAATCGATTATCGATAAAACGTTTCATAATATAATATTGCCACCACGCATCCCTAGTCAGTTATACGTGATGGCGAATCGTACATTACGTACTTAGTCAAATAAAATCTTCAAAAATATCCGATCTCTTATAAGACTTATACAACACATGGTGGTGCAATGATAAATTATAGAAAAAATATTTATTAAGTTCACTGTGAGTCATTTTTTTAAACGCTTGAGTTTTAGGTAAATATGTTTCTGCCATCGTTCTTTCCATTCGCAAACACGCTCTACCCCCAAATTAATTTTATGAAAGCTTGGAATCTGATTGGTCAGGAGAGAGCTCGAACGATGCGTCACTATTCTTCTTAACGCGAATAGATGTCCGTTCGTGTTAACAAAATAGTGACGCAACGTATTTCAAAATTAGTTTAGCTGTTTAGTATTTTTTGTCTTGGCCGTATTACGGTAACGAAATTGTGCTTTCTCCCAGTGAGGGTGGTGGATCAAGAGAGCGAGAGACTGAGGAACAATGGGAACAAGGTTCTGTGGGCGAGGGGGGAGCCCCCCCGGACGAGCGGTGGCGGTGGCCGCTCGACCACCCCGCGATGGACTGCTGCAGGTCAGACCTGACCAACAATAGGTATAGCACTGAATCTTATAAACATATTTATTGTTATTTTTAAAGAGCTAAATCTTTCAAGGCTCACCCAGAATGTCTTAAGTGATTAATTTGGTTACCTTTCCCCCCCCCCCCCCCCCCCTCAGGACGCTGAGCGGCAGCGCGGGCGGGCGCTGTGCGTCGGCCGGCAGCCTGCTGCACCTGCCCAACGGTACGTCCCTAAATATTCCTTGATTTTCTTAAAAATTGCCAGAGTAGTCGACTCAGTCAGAATAATACGAACATTTTTGAGATAGTTCACAATCCGTCTGGAATTATTTTATATGAGATAAGCTGAAAGATCCCGTGTAAACACATTCTAGTTCCAAAATTGTCCTGTTAATAATTATATTAATCTATGTGATGGGCGATCTAAGTACCATGTGTGTATGTATGTGTCAGACAACTCGCGCGCTGGTACGTGTCGGCGCGAGCTGCCCTCCAGGTCCACGGACGCCACACAGCACAGGTGAGGACTCCCTTAATACTTTAAGACCATCAATGCAGACACACCGTACTATTTAGTGACTACTGCAGTGGCTGTGGTGCACCAGGCTTTATCACCTCGTCTTGTCGGAGGTTTCTCCCTTTGTTTTGGAGGGAAATAACACCCAACACCCACGGACCAATTAGATTCCAAGAACAAGAACACTGTGAGTCATTTTTTTAAACGCTGGAGTTTTAGGTAAATATGTTTCTGCCATTGTTCTTTCCATTCGCAAACACGCTCTACCCCCAAATTAATCTTATGAAAGCTTGGAACCTGGTTGGTCATGGAGCGGGGATTGATAGTTGCGTCACTATTTTCTTAACGCGAATTGACTAATCTCTCCAGTGAACATCGAAACAGGATATTCTATACAACATGGTTATTGAGTGTTAGTGATGGCGAATGTTTGGTGTCGTCAGACAATCAGCGGCGGAGTGTTCGGTGCGCTGCAGCCAGCAGTCGGCGGCGCGGCTGTCGGCGGCGGTCCCGGACGTGGCCATGGCGCCCAACGCCAACACGCACCTGCTCACCGCGCGCGACTACTTCCGCCTCACGCCCTGGGGTCAGTGCCTTCTACGTACCTACCTACATACATAGCTAGTATACGTCTGTGCACCATCCCATCTATACAGGATGGATGAAGTGGAAGAGTGCCCTATTACATTAAAGGGACAAATACACAAAACGGCCATCAGACCTGCCGTCTTGTATGGTTCTGAAAGTTGCACCATTGAGAGATTGAATGACAGACGCCTGGACGTAGCCGAAATGCGAATGCTGAGATGAATGTGTGGTGTGACTCAGATGGACAAGGTTAGAAATGAGTATATACGGAGGAGTCTGAAAGTAGCGCCTCTGGATGAAAAGGTAAGAAGTAATAGGTTATCTTGGTATGGACATGACATGCGGAGGGATGAGGAAAATGTGGTGAAGAAAGTGTTAGGTATGGGAGTTGAGGGGTACAAGAGAAGAGGAAAACCAAAAGAAAAGGTAGATGGACTGTGTGAGTGAGGATATGGCTAGGAAGGGAGTAAACAGTGAGATGACGAATGATAGAGTAGAGTGGAAGAATTATACTGCGCCAACCCCAAATTAAATTGGGATGAGGGTGAGCAGGAGATAATGATTACCAGCCCTCTTCATCTGACTTAATCGGTGATGAACACGCAGTAATAAAGATAATTGATGTTACAGAATACAGTGGAGGTGGAGTGTTACAGCTGGACCTAGGGGACGGAGCTACGCACACTCCTCGACCAGGTATGTCTCTTCTGTCCAGACATGACCTATGTGGTGTGGTACTAATATCATCACTCTCATATAAAAGAAATATATACTTAGATATAGTACAATTAGAATTAACGAACATTTATGACACCGTTACCAGTGTTGGGGGTTCAACCTACATATGGGTCAACGATTAGTGTGATATACGTATAGTTGTCTTGTGTCCAGGGTCAAGAGCACAGCGGGCCGGCGTGTCGGCGGGCGCCAGCAGCAGCAGGCAGCCGCGGGACCAGCACACGCAGGTACTGTACCATAACAGACTCACCACTTTCTCCCTTTGGGGTAGGCAGGCAGCCCGTCATTTGCCACTAAGCCCTTAAGTATTGATCCATAGATATGTCCACCCTTCTCAAGTTATAACTGAAGGATAAACTTGAAAATTGCCACTGACACGGCTCAATTAGTGTCACTCAACCGTTGTCAACTCGTTGACTCTCTGTCTCTGGTTTTCTGTCGCAAAGAGTCGCGTTTATGGCTTTTAAGAAATGGTCCTATTTAAGTTTTGCTGGACTCAGGGTGAAAAAAAACAATGATATTATTTATACATATTTGTAATACTGAATGTTTATATGTAGAAATGCACAAAGCTAACATTTTAAAACAATATTTGCTATCAAGTTGAAAATTATGTAAAACTACAGGTGTCCACTATATGTTGACCTGTGTACGGCACAAAAGTGTGTACGATGACAGTTTAAGTTATACTCGTCGATGATATAAATATAACAAGACATTGAAATCGATCGGTGTGTTTGTGTGTCAGGCGATGTCGTGCCTGCGCAGCCGCGCCGACGACGACGAGCTGCGCGCCGCCATCGAACTCTCCGTCATTAGAGGTGGGTCACGTGGTATATACATACTAAGTTTAGTGGGCTCGGATCTTCGGATACTTGCGGAAAATCAATCAATAATTAGAAACGAGGAACGGTATCGGTCCAAGGTGGGACCCCTGTGGCACGCCAGATGCGACAAGGTGTACCCTAGAGTCGTCTTCTTTTATTGTCATAATAATGGTGGTCTTTCAGAAAGATACGATAGAAAGTAAGCTAATAAATTTCATATATGCTATGTATGTCGCAGTTTTTACTAATAACAGGTAATGTTTAACTTTGTCGAAAGCTCCGGAAAAATCAGAATTTGAATGAGATAGGTTTAAATTTGTCTCGCTTACTCAAATTACTTATATGATTACTACAATCCATAATCGTATATTGGGTGGGCCCATCTGCATTTGGGACAAAACAACATGGTTATCTAGGACTGTTCTCTGTTGTCTATCAGACACTAGATAATTATGATACGCATTTCTTACAAGAAGTCAACACACGAACTCTGTTATAAAACATACACATTTGAATTTATACTGTTTGTGCAGCGTACTCATCGTTCGGGTCCCGCGCGTCCGCCGCCGCGTCGGCCAACGTGTCAGCGAACGTGTCAGCCAACATGTCGGCCAACAGCGCGGGCCACAACAGCACGACGCACAACAACGTGCTCAACAACGCGCTGGCGTGGCGCGGGAACGCCACCTTGCCGCAGAGCAGGTCGCCCAACGACCTGCAGCTGGCGGCCACGCACATGCCCACAGGTACTTGTACACGCTGCTGTGTTGTGTAGTGTGTAGTGACGCGGGGACGCCACCTTGCCGCAGAGCAGGTCGCCCAACGACCTGCAGCTGGCGGCCACGCACATGCCCACAGGTACTTGTACACGCTGCTGTGTTTTGTAGTGTGTAGTGACGCGGGGACGCCACCTTGCCGCAGAGCAGGTCGCCCAACGACCTGCAGCTGGCGGCCACGCACATGCCCACAGGTACTTGTACACGCTGCTGTGTTGTGTAGTGTGTAGTGACGCGGGGACGCCACCTTGCCGCAGAGCAGGTCGCCCAACGACCTGCAGCTGGCGGCCACGCACATGCCCACAGGTACTTGTACACGCTGCTGTGTTTTGTAGTGTGTAGTGACGCGGGGACGCCACCTTGCCGCAGAGCAGGTCGCCCAACGACCTGCAGCTGGCGGCCACGCACATGCCCACAGGTACTTGTACACGCTGCTGTGTTGTGTAGTGTGTAGTGACGCGGGGACGCCACCTTGCCGCAGAGCAGGTCGCCCAACGACCTGCAGCTGGCGGCCACGCACATGCCCACAGGTACTTGTACACGCTGCTGTGTTGTGTAGTGTGTAGTGACGCGGGGACGCCACCTTGCCGCAGAGCAGGTCGCCCAACGACCTGCAGCTGGCGGCCACGCACATGCCCACAGGTACTTGTACACGCTGCTGTGTTGTGTAGTGTGTAGTGACGCGGGGACGCCACCTTGCCGCAGAGCAGGTCGCCCAACGACCTGCAGCTGGCGGCCACGCACATGCCCACAGGTACTTGTACACGCTGCTGTGTTTTGTAGTGTGTAGTGACGCGGGGACGCCACCTTGCCGCAGAGCAGGTCGCCCAACGACCTGCAGCTGGCGGCCACGCACATGCCCACAGGTACTTGTACACGCTGCTGTGTTGTGTAGTGTGTAGTGACGCGGGGACGCCACCTTGCCGCAGAGCAGGTCGCCCAACGACCTGCAGCTGGCGGCCACGCACATGCCCACAGGTACTTGTACACGCTGCTGTGTTGTGTAGTGTGTAGTGACGCGGGGACGCCACCTTGCCGCAGAGCAGGTCGCCCAACGACCTGCAGCTGGCGGCCACGCACATGCCCACAGGTACTTGTACACGCTGCTGTGTTGTGTAGTGTGTATTGACGCGGGGACGCCACCTTGCCGCAGAGCAGGTCGCCCAACGACCTGCAGCTGGCGGCCACGCACATGCCCACAGGTACTTGTACACGCTGCTGTGTTTGTGTAGTGTGTAGTGACGCGGGGACGCCACCTTGCCGCAGAGCAGGTCGCCCAACGACCTGCAGCTGGCGGCCACGCACATGCCCACAGGTACTTGTATCACGCTGCTGTGTTTGTAGTGTGTAGTGACGCGGGGACGCCACCTTGCCGCAGCGCAGGTCGCCACAACGACTCTAGCAGGCTCGCGCTGCCACGCACATGCCCACTCAGGTACTTTAGTACAAGCGCTGTGTGTTGTAGTTGTAGTGACGCAGGGGACGCACCTTGCCGCAGAGCAGGACTCGCCCAACGACCTGCAGCTGGTGCAGGCACGCACATGCCACAGGTATTGTACACGCTTCTGTGTGGTGTAGTGTGTAAGGTGGACGCGGGGACGCCACCTATGATGCCGCAGAGCAGGTCGCCAACGACCTGCAGCTGGCGGCCACGCACATAGCCACAAGTACTTGTAACACGATGCTGTGTCGTGTAGTGTGTAGTGACGCGGGGGACGCCACCTTGCCCCGCGAGCAGGTCGCCACTAACGACCATGCCAGCTGGCGGCCACGCACATGCCCACAGTATACTTTGTACACGATGCTGTGTTGTGTAGTGGTAGTGACGCGGGGACGCACATTGCCGCAGAGAAGGTCGCCCAATCGACCTGCAGCTGGCGTGGCCACGCACATACCCACAGGTGCTACTTGTACACGCTGCTGTGTTGTGTAGTGTGTACACATAGAGATATAGATAACTCTGTCGTCTTCTGCGAGCAAGTTATACTTGCGAAGATGATGGCGTAGCGGGACTGAGAGAGGTTTAGAACTCTCCCGGTCCCGCCGGGGCTCGGGACGGGGCAAGTACCGCAGACGACTCAGGCGTCGGAGTTCGCTGAACGACCTCCGTCCTCCATAAGCGCAAGCCTGGAGGTGACAGGTTAGGCCATCTATCACTCTAGCAGAAGCAGGCCGGAGTGGTGGCGAGACGCGCTGCGGACCGGGGGCCCTTTTTGGGAGCACAAAGGGGACACAGAAGAGAGCCATCTACACCCGTGACGGCCTGCGGGTTTTGATCGGTTCGAGTCCGACATAACCACCCCACGGGTGGGGTGGTATCCGAGGGGACTTCCGCACAGAGAAAACAAAAGGTATAGGTATAGATAGGAGGGTCTCAAAAAAAGTAGTATGTTCGTTACCTAAAAAGTCGTCATTTGTGAAACGATTTGAAGAATCCCTTTTTTATTTGGGAAAAGTAAGCGATAGGAATACAGTTTGTAAGACTTAACTAGCTGAGACCCGCGGTGTTACCCGCGTTTGTTGTTAAAACCGTGGGCAACGCCGCTCGGCGAAGCTAGTCTAAAAAAGTAGCCTAAGTTACTCCTTATGTCATCAGCTATCTGCCAGTGAAAGTCCCGTCGAAATCGGTCCAGCCGTTCCGGAGATTACTCGGAACAAACAGACAATTTGTAAAAAATGTTATTTTGGCATATGAACCTTGTAAACACACATATGCATTTAGTAAACAGCGGTTATTTTAATATTACAAACAGACACTTCAATTTTATTTATTTGAATAAATGAAGATTCATCAGAAGACAAGTTAATTCATTATGGATGTTAATAGTTCATTGTTTTTGTATTTTGCACGGTAAAATGTAGTTTGTGTGTTGTTTCCCAGCTCGCGCGGGTCGCTCGTCGGCTCCTCCCCCTCCAGTGGGAGCTCAGCGTCTGCCGGACCTGCACACCCCTCCGCCACATTTGGCTTGTGAGTGAACGATATTACTACTCATTAATTATGATATTACTAAATTATTTATTTACTAGCTTTTGGCCGCGTCTCCGCCCGCTTGTATGTCGGTTTTCTCGGTGAAATGTAGTCTATGTTCCTCGCTGATAATTAAGCTTGCCATTGGCTTAGTGGTTTAGCCGTGAAAGCGTAACAAACAAATTCACTTTCAAAATTATATAAGTATAGATTATAAAAAATCGACTTTATATGGGGTAGGTTAACTTTTTAGAAGCACCTATGACGTTTTGTGCTGATTTCATGTTACATGCTGTTTACCAATGGAGGGTCTCACTTGGACCCTGACGGGCAGACTAGACCGCAATTATCTCGTTGATTTTCACTGAGTGAGTGAAGCCACCGCTGGCCTTAACTTGATTTGCAGTTAAAATAATAATAAATTAATTTACAAAACAATTATATGTACATAGAAATTTACAGTACATGTTAGTTACAGGACAATTTTAGTCGTCGGTAAGATCGAAATATCCTTGTTCAATTAGGGAAAAACCCTGCCTTTTGAACTAAGTGACACCTGTGTCTTAAAAGACAGTGTTCGGCCATACATTTATACAATATTTGGTGCCTGTTGTCAATATTAAAAACCACCCACGCTTTTTTCAAATTTATTTTCTATTTCTTAGTTTGGTTTTCTATAAAAGCGTGTTTTTTAGTTTTTTAAACAATTTTTTTGTTTAATATTTTTTTTTAAATTAGAGTATTGTCATCGGTCCTCGATATATCTACAAAGTTTGAACGAATTCTGACCGTTTAAAGTCAGTCAAAATCACGCCCAAAGGAGTCGGTTACAAACGTACAAACAAACATACAAGTGAAGCTAATATAAAGCGTGTAAAAAGACAGTGTTCGGCCATACATTTGTACAATATTAGATAAAACTTTCTAATGCAGAGCAGTTGTGAATGCTTTGTGTATTAAGTTTACGCTGTTATGCATGATATATGGTACTGTGAAGTGAATGAGAGTGTGTGTGTTTGCTTGCGCGCGCGCGTGTGTGTGTGTGTGTGTGTGTGTATGCATGAGTGTGTGCGTGTTATATCATGAATATAGTTATCATCATATAGTTATATTATAAATAAAAAATCCATTTTGATTGAACCCGGTTGATGTCGCTGCTATCAAGTTTATCGAGTAATCTGAAACTGTATGATTGATTAATTTATATTGTCTGTGTGTACAGTGAGTCGCGTTGGCAGCGTGGGGAGCGGGGAGAGAGGGGCGGGCAGCTCGCGGAGCCCCAGCAGCAGCCCCGGGGCCAGCCCGCGCCGCCCCCACGACTACCTGTACCGGCGCCACCAGCCCCACCACGACTACAGGTATGTGCACCTCGCTCGGGACCACTCTTAGTACATAGATGACCAGTTATTGCGAGATAACAGCGTGTGGTGGTGGATTAAGAACACGGAGTGTCACCACCTCTATTCATCCCGTGGGTGTCGTAAGAGCCGACTAAAGGAGCAAACTTCGCAGGACAACAGCACCGCAAAGAGAAGGAAAACCAACCCGCATGGCCAGCGTGGTATAGTAGGTCAAAACCTCCTTTCTAAGGAGAGACCTATGTCCAGCAGTGAACTAGTAGAGGCTGTTGATGATAATTGATGAACATCGTGTGTGTTTGTTTCCGTAGACTGGAGGCGCAGTTCGCGCCGAGCTCGGGCCCCGCCAGCCGCGGGCACAGCCCCAACACGTACGCGTGAGGCTCGGCCCCCCTCCCCCTACCCCCCAGGTGGTGAGTAGTGCCAAGTTTGTTATTTTCATCTCATTTACACTTGCGCTAGCAATAGGATGTCAGGATTTAGCGTCTTCCCCCTACTACCATCAATACAAAGGGTTAAATAAAGATTTGGACATACTTTATGGTCGTATAGAGGACCCCATAAAAGGCAACGACGACTTTGCTATTATGGTAACAAGCCATGACGTCACAAACCGTTATTCCATACAACTGTTCGTGATTTAAAAGATCATATTTTTTATGGTGACTATAGGGGGGGGGGGGGGGCAAACGGGCAGAAGGGGCACCTGATGGTAAGTGACTACCGCTGCCCATGAACGCGCGTAACTCAGGGGATACAAGTGCATGTCATCCGTTTAATCTCGCCTCCAAGTTACGGGAAAGGGAGGGGCAGACAGGTACGGTTAACACCGGTTTTCTTTTCTTTTTGTAGGATCCTGTATTATATTTCAAACTGTTTTATTGAATGAAAAATAAATATTTTGATTGTGTTTGGTACTCTTCAAACCAAAGCTATGCTTGTGCAAACCCTTATCTTCCCCGTAATCGATTATGGTAACGTGTGATGTTATGACCTGAATGCAGATCTTTTCGATAAATTAAAAACTGCATTCGATTTGTTTATAATATCCGTAAATATGATCATCCTTCCTTTCGCAGCTCAACCTACCAATTCGTCTACGTCGAAAATTACGCGCTAATAATTTAATTGGAAACTGATTTTTTTTCTCAACAGATAGCGTCGAACACCCCTCGCCCTGAGGAACGGTGTCTGCTGGTGACCGCCGCGTGTTCAGTGACTAGATATACTAATGTTATACCTGATACATAAACCCTTCCTCACTCCCTCCCCACTCCCTCAGTCCTCCTTCTTCCCAGTCACTATTATAATCCTACTTCTGTTGGAGTATAAAGCTGAGAATTATTATCTTTACTTTTAACATAAGACTGCAATTTAACTGGTCGTGAGTTCGATTCTCGCCCACGTAAAAATGTCTACGGATAAGTCTATTTGCATTGGTCTGGGCGTTTCTATGTATAATATGTATGTATTTATAACAAAAAGTACCTAAGTATGTATATCTGTGTTCTTGAGCCTACAGCAAAGATATTAAATTTGAAAAAAAACATCTATCGTCTAGCGTATTAATAAAATACTAGAATTATTAATATCGCCATTTGACATAATTTGATTTCAAACAATTTGGAATAACATTTACTTGTAAGGTTCAGTTTGACATTTGCCATAAATATTTACATAATTTCTTTTAACCACAGACCAATGTGATTAGTCGATTTCCGTATGTCTCTTCTAGTCTCTGTTTACTCATCTCAGCACCACTCCACTCTCTTACTCTGGGTTCTTCTCAAACACAATCTAATTTAACTGGCTTACTGTTTCTTATAAATTAGAGGTTTATGCAGCGAGTTATTATTTAAATAACAATAAATATAAGCGATGTGGGGTACAGTTAGCAAAACAAACTTGAATGAAACTTAAAAAAATATTGAATTATTTAATATTTTTTATTAGCCTGTTAAAATAGAAGTTGGTGACTGTACCACCTCACTTATATTACACTTAAAGGACAAGTAGCTAAAAATATTTTTTTTAGAGTATAAATCTCTATTTTACCGAAGAATTTCTTTTCAAAATTTATTTTTTATCAAGCCTTTTATTTTCACCCCTTGATTCACGAAAAATCTATACCTCTTTAAAAAGTATATCTAACTACCCCCAACCCCTCTTCAATTCCTATGATCTCAAAAATGTCTAAGTGCAACATTTGTAATATAGTTATATAAAGATTTGTACGTAACAGTAACAACTATTATACCTTGTATTATATAATAAATAACGAATTTGTTTCTCGCGCGCTGAACGTGTAATGGAGTGATGGCAGGAACGGCCGCCATTTTGTTAAACACTTCGAGCGTTCGACAAGATGGCCGCCGGTTGTGAGAAAAAGATAATTGAGTTTTGAATGGAATAGGTTATTTAAATATGTAATAAAATTACACCGTTTATTAGTTCGTGTTATTGTTCAATACGACGATATTGACGACCGAATGGCGTAGTGGTTTGTGTAACGGACTGCTATTCCAAAGGTCGCGGGTTCCATTCCCGCTCAAGTCAAACATTTGTGTGCATGAACATTTAATGTTTGATTTGGTCTGGGTGTTTCTATGTATAATAAGTATGTATTTACAAAAAAAAAAAAGTATATATGTATTTATATCAGTTGTCTAGTACCCATAGTACAAGCTCTGCTTAGTTTGGGACTAGATGGCGTTGTGTGAATGTGGTACAATATTATATTATATTATAATACACGTACATACCTAATTTTATTTCTGCATCACTTGATGATGGTTGACTGGCAAAGCGTACCTTTAGCATTAAATGTGTAGCTAAGTATGTTGTCGCGGAATAGTGCGGGTTCGACTTACAGCGAAGGGAAAAAATTATAAACACATTTATTAAAGATCATTTTACGAGACATTCTACTACTCTATATTTGTACTTGTACACGGGACTGCACGGATGGCGTAGTGGTTAAAGCGGTTACTTTTGCCGCTTTCTACGGCCCTCATGATGTGGGTTCGGTCACCACATGGGGACAAAACATTTTGGGTGATTCACAAATTGTTGCTCTGAGTCTGGGGGGTGTTCTTTGTGTCCATTTCATGTATATTTGTAGTCACCCGAAATAGGAAATATTCCTGCTGCGGGAGTTCTTTAAAAAAATAAGCAAATAAACTGTATTTGATAGTAAATACTTATTTCACAATATTTTAGTTTGTGTTATTCATAGAAATAACTCCGATATCTATTAAAAAGGTAGACTGGCAGAGAATGCCTACGGCATTAAGTCCACCTTTGTACATGTTTTTTTGTGCATAAAGTATTAAATAAATAAATAAAAATAATAAACGTCACTACAAGGGTTAGAGCAACCGTTTCCGATGACGAGTTTCCGAGTCCCGATATACACGACGAAAGTCAAGCATTTGTTTAGTTTTAGTTCAGATCTGAATACTACAAGTTTGAACCCGCAACCACTGGATCCCAAGTCCGTAGTGTGTTTTCCCCTACTGTATTGTTATTGTTAAAGATTATGTGTTTGTACATTTTGGTCCTTCGAGCCGCCGTTCCGTTACACGTTCAACGCCACTATTTAATATAAACGTTATACATATTATATAAAAATACTGTAAATAAATATATAATATAAATTAAACATTTAAATAGTTGAGTATTTTGATTTGTTACTTTATTCTACCCGAAGTGTTCTGTTGGCGTACAACGGTACTGGTCTCTACTCCTTTACACATTCCCAGTTGTGTAGTCGTATGAGAAACTGGGATACGTGATTAAAAACTATAAACACATTTTAAACTATAAATGGACACAATTTGAATTGATCACCTTGCGGCGAGTTTATTAAATAGGCTCCGCTTGTTTCAACTGCGGCGAGAATCTCATAGTAACAACATTTAGTATTCACAGATTATAGTCCGCAAACGTCGTGCGCGACCGTCCTGCGGGGTGACAGACGGTGGCGGGGACGAGGTACTCAAGATGTCAGCGGGTAGCGGGTGGTGTAGCGGGGAAGGGAAACGTGTGTAGCCGTGTGCTAGAATGACGCGCTACCTCGCCCCCGCCACCTTCTGTCACCCCGCGGGACGGTCGCGTACGAGATTGCCGGGTTATAGTAAAACATCGTGGAACACGGATATGTTCAAACTTTACCTGAAATATTCTTGGTGACACAAATCTCAACGTAAAAGGGTACCCTCCCCTCTAACTAATACCAAGTATTTCAAAGGGTGGCAGCTCGTGACACTTGAGTTGGCGGTCACTGGGCGGCGGTAGTCGGTTACTAACAGATGGTCCTTTGACCACTTTGACCATAAGGGTCAAAGGAGTAGATGAACCATCTGCGAATATCCTAAAAGAGAGATAATAATAAAACACTTAAATAATCGTTATTATATTTATTTCAATTAATTATCCCCCGTCCTACTCTAGCACCAGCTCCCCCCCCCCCTCTCTTATTACATACAGACTGTACATACATACATTTATACACATCTCCGCGCTTCACACACAAATACAATCGATCAATAAATTAAAGAGGACAACACAATGTTTAAAACGTGTCATTTATCAAATCACGAGAATAAATTGACCTTGAAAACTAACGCGTTTAAACAGTATTAGTGGTGTACACACCGACCGACTGATAATTAACAATCATAACATTAAAGGCGTTTACACCACGATCTGGTTTATATCCACAACGTAAATACATCCAAGTTGAACGAGATGAAGACGCTGAGGGTGAGATTTGCTGCGTCAACCTTTTGGTGAATTGTGCATCGCCGACAAAACGACAATGGTACGGTTCACTTAAAGAGGAACCCTTGATTACATTAGAAAGATCATATAATGTCCAAGATTATCATTTATGCCTGTTGATCCAGAGGCACATAGAAGACAGATGGAAGGCTGCAGTGCTGAACGATTGAAAGTGTCAGGTTTTTTTTTTGGGTTTTTTTTTTTTTTGGGGTTTTTTTTTTTTTTTTTTTTTTTCCCCTTTTTTTTTTTTGTTTTTTTTTTTTTGTTTTTTTTTTTTTTTTTTTTGTTTTTTTTTTTTTTTTTTTTTTTTTTTTTTTTTTTTTTTTTTTTTTTTTTTTGTTTTTTTTTTTTTTTGGGTTTTTTTTTTTTTTTTTTTTTTCCCCCTCTCCTCCCCTGAATATAAACTAATAGTGTGGATTGGAAAGAAAGCTTGGAATAGAAAGCCTTAACCCCCCCATTGACGATAATAATAAAAACTCCCCTCTCCTCAAGGGGAATGGAAGGGACCCCTACGGGAAAAGGCTGTGAATGCGATCAAAAATGTGTAAATCTTTCTTCTTATGAGGAAAGGGCCATTCCATAATTTGAAAAAACTTAAAATTTGTAGAACTTATATTGTAGGATTCTGCTTATTTGACGGAATATCAAAAAACATTCATAAATTCTTTTACTGTGAAAATAATTTGACTGCTTAAAAATTTAATTAAATTTAAATTTTTTTACATATTGTGCTACTCAGAAAAAACTACCAAATTTTTCTGACTCGATATGAATAATTAAAAACAAATTTTTTTTCAAATAGCATTTATAAACAGCTTCAATTCCCCCGAAATATCTAGATTTTTGATATAATTATATGTATCCCTTTGGTGTAAGCCCCTTTTGTGTAACATTACTACAACACAGAAGGGGCGGCCGGCCAAACTACATACTTAAAAAAAACAAGCGAATAAAATTATATCATTAGAGTCCAGGGACCCCTCAAAAGGGGGGCGTCAAAGCATAGATTTTTTGGGAGATAAATGCTTTAATAGTAATGTATCCGACACTAAATCTTGCGGCAGGTCTCCCCCCTTTGGGTAAAGGGTGTCCCTATGGAGCTTAAAACAAAACATACGTTAGTACAATACAAAAAAAACCCCTTTTTGTAAGGTGAAAAATGTTTCTGCTTCTATTAATCCAATGACTCTATTGAAATGCGGGTATTTTGTTACCTGTCAACATACGCAATATTTTGTACAATATATTTGTCAACGCGCTAACATTACAAACTACACATAAATGCCGGGGAGGGGCACAGTCGTAGCAAGCTAGTTGTCAAACGTTACATACATACATACATTTATATTTTTTATGTGTACGGCGATACACCACACACAAAGCTATTGTTTAAAAGTAGGCTTGGTACGACTGGTATGAAACCCCCCAAATAAAAAAGGGAAAAAGCGGCTCTAGAAGCATGTTCAGGCGAGGAGGGGGTTGGAGTAACCGTTGGAGCACCATGGGAGGGAACCCAAAATGCCCCTCTCCCTCGAATTGAGAAATTAGAAGGAGACGAACACAACTTCGAGGGAAGGCGAGCCAAAGACATGCCACTCGCCGGCAGTACTCCTTGACGTCAACAGTCGGCTGTAGAGGTCGCTACTGAGGCAAGCGTCGATACATACTGTACCTGCAGTTGGATGTGGTTCCTTTAACAAACACCTTCAGCCCACGGCACCAGGTAGACGCAGGTGATAGATTGACACTTGCAGTATACCAAGCTAAAGACCTTGGCTCGCCAGGGTCCTTAGCTTGGTGTACGTACAGAGGTTACTAGGGGCTACTAAGGGGAGTTCGTATAGTTTTATTTAAATCGAATTCACGCATTAAATACTCAAGTGGTTTTCATGAAACTGCATACGTACTGACAGGGGTGCAGAATTGAAATAGAGTACCTTTGACCCGACGAGGGTACTGTTCCCGAGGGTCCGTTAGGGTGACCTATTGCGCGTGTATCGCAGAACACATCGTATGTTCGGACACACGAGTGACCAGATATAACTACTACATATAGCTCTGAAGCCTCTTCTGTGAGTTCATTTCCTTCCAGCTGTAAAGTCCTACTTGTAAAAATATATTGGCGCGCATTGAACCTTCAGCAATCGCAACACGAAAGGCGGTCTCCGTCGAAAGCGAGTTGCTAACTTCTGCAAGTTTTCTGGGACTTTACAGCTAAAAAGAGCAGGGATTCGTAACACTAACAAACCACAGAGATGTCTTTTTTTGTTCGTTAACATAATTAAAGAAAACTGTGTGAGTACAGTATAGGGTCTGGATAGGCCTTTTGAAGGACCATAGTTTTGAGTCGGTCTGTCTATAGAGACGGCATACGGACCCCAGCCATCGTGGAGCTGAACCGATATTAGTCAAGATTAACGACCCGAAGCACGTCACTACCGCCAGTAGGACATTAGGCTAGGCCGTGGAAACACTCAAAACCACCAGAAAGTTACTAAAACTATGAAGCGTACACTATACTCACACGAGGCCCTCAGAACCATGTGTTTGTGGCACAAGTTCGTAAGTTAATGATACGCCAAATGTTTTGTGAGTCTACGATTTATACAACAATACTGTGTGACATGTGACACAGTGTAGACGCTCAGGTGATGATGATGATGTAAGGGTGAAGTGTTCGATGATGAGTGAACAGTTAATCTATCTTATAAATATAAATGTTGTACTTCTAAACTATTAGTTATGATGGCTGTTTGGGGATGTAAAACATACTACACATAGTTCACAATCACAAAAGTTATTGAGAAAATCAATATTCAGTCAAAACTATTATGGTTAATACACAACACGCTTCCTCACACCTGATATAGGACTCTTTTTTGGGTTATTTTTTTGTTATTTTAATAAAAACCGTGTACTAGGAATATATCCTGTGTCGCTGGGACTTTACAAACATGAAATATATAGAATATAAGGAACACCCTGACTCAGAAAATCAATTTATCACACAAATTGATTGATGATCACACAAAGACTGCACGGATGGCGTAGTGGTATAAGCGGTCGGCCTACTACGCCGAGTGTTGTGGGTTCGATACCCACATGGGACGACACTTTGTGTGATCAACAAATTGTTTTTCTGAGTCTGGGTGTTCTTTGTGTCCGTTTTATGTATGTTTGTAAAGTCCCCCGCGACACAGGATATATTCCTAGTGAGGGAGTTGTCTCACAACACTCGCGCAGTAGGAAGCAGCGACTACTACGCCATCAGACTCTCATCTCCACGTCAGAATATGGTAATCTCAATAACTTTTCTATTGTTTCAGTAATGGCTACACATATGACACATAGAATATTGACAATCACATATAATTGTATATTAATTGTTTTCTTTTAAAGTAAAATATCATTCAATCAAACGAGATTCATTCGTTCTATATACAGGCTGTTACAGAAACTAAATAAAGAAAAATAAATAAATAAATAACTTGTGGATAGTAATGTATTATTTTTGAGAGTTTAGTTTAACAGTTGAGGAAAAATACAGGAATCTCGTTTTGAAAACAATACATTTAGTTATAGAATCAACAAATGAAGTTAATATTGTATAAGTGACTAGCGTCATTATTTATTAGTTCGCGTTACTGACTTACCCCTTATTTTACTCTCTCAGGGGTGAAATTTCCAAAAATTTTTTCTTAGTACTATATCTATACAAATAAATAAAATTGGAGTGTCTGTTTGTAATATTAAAATAACCGCTTTTTACTAAATGCATATGTATGTTTAACCGGTACATATGCCAAAATAACATTTTTTACAATTTTTGTCTGTCTGTCTGTTTGTTCCGGGTAATCTCTGCAACGGCTGGACCGATTTCGACGGGACTTTCACTGGCAGATAGCTGATGACATAAGGAGTAACTTAGACTGTTTTTAGACTAGCTTCGCCCCGCGGCGTTGCCCGCGGTTATGACAACAAACGCGGGTAACACCGCGGGTCTCAGCTAGTTCAACATAAAAAGCCTCAGCTGCCAAAATGTCAAGTTTGTAGTCCCAGCGGTTTAGGGGCTGCGTTGATGAATCAGACCGTCAGGGGAAGGAATTCTATATGTATAGATAGAGAACGAGGAATACGCGTATTTAAAAATGTAATGTGGCAATGCCCAGCTACGCTATATCTACACCAGGCAAGGTACTTACCGAAGATTGAATTCATTTATTTTAACTACATCAACACTTTTCGATTATACATAAGATGGTTTTCAAAATCCAAATGCTCTGTCTGTAACAGCCTGTACATAAGACATGGTTAAAGTGTGGTTGTCGTGTCCCAATGGACGGTGCAGGGGCGCGTGTCCAGGAGCTCACAGGTCTGTCTCGGAGGCGCGCGTGTCGAGCCAGTGGCGAGTGCGGCGCGACCGGCGCGGGGACGAGCCCTGGCAAACGTGTGGGTTATATTTAATGTTATGTTACGAGTATAGCTAACAAACGAGCAGACGGTTCACCTGATGGTAAGCGGCTACCCTGCTCAGAGACACTTGCGACTCGCCAGAGATAGGGGGGAAGAAACAGAGTTAGGTCTCCAGTAAAATCATTCAGAGGATGAATAGGTGAAGGAATTTTGAGGAAATCGTCATCGCCTAGGACGGGATAAGTAAGTAATGGACCACTGGAGTAGCTTTTAGTCGCTAAATGTTTGCAAGACTTCTTCGCCTTTCGCAATAAATGCTGCAGCCCATAAAGGAGGGGGGGGGGGGGAGGGGTGGTATGAATGAAAAATGTAGTCGGTTACCTTGGGTCGTTGGTGTAGGTGCGTGTGGTGCAGCGCGTCCTGCAGCGCCACGGCCGCCTCCATCTCGGCCGCGCTGCAGCCCGCGCGCGCCGCCACCAGCTCCGACTCCTCCACGTCTGGGGGATAATAATAACTAAATAACAATTTGACTGCACGGGTGCTGTAGTGGTTGAGGGTTCGATTCCCATATGGGACGACACTTTGTGTGATTCACAAATTGTTGTTTTGAGTCTGGGTGTTCTTTGTGTCCGATTCATGTATGTTTTTGAAGTCCCCACAAGATATATTCCTAATGTGGGAATTGTTTTTTTAAATAAAATAAAATGTAATACAAAAAGGAGAGTAATAATAATTGGCCCCATCTCACAGCTGGTCGTCTGATCCCACACTGCGCACAGCCTGTACTATGATAACCAGATTGCTGATAAACATACATATTCTAAATAAATTACACTCAGACACAGAACAAATGATCGTGATCATAAAACAATTATTTGTCCTGGGTGTGAATCGAATCCACGATCTCTGATTTAGCAGTGAGGGACACTAGCGACTAGTGCAACAGGCCAGAGAGTAGAGTAGAGGGGCGGCACGTACCGTGGTAGGAGAACATCTTGGGCGGCTGGTTCCCGCGCAGCGCCACGGTGTCGGCCTTGAGGCGCGCCGCGTGCGCGCGCAGACGCGCCTCGCACTCGCGCGACCACGCGCCCGGACCCACCCTGGGGGGGGGGGGAGGCTGTTAGTTGTTGTGGGTACCATAGCTATGGAACGGGCTAAAAACTTTGCGTTTTCTTGTCCTGTACTTTTTTGAAAAAATTTGAGCAGTTCTCTTTTATTTTGTCACTTTTATAAAAATAAAGGTTTTTAAAAAAAAAAGACGTGTGACACTCGGGGACTGCCGCGGTAAAGCTATTACATAGCATTTTGCGGGGCGAAGAGGGGGATTACGCATGCGCAGTAACGCCGTTACAACCAATGCCACCTAGAGGCGAGTTGCTGAACTAAAGAGACAAGCGTGATATTTCAAAAAAGTCATTAAAAGTTCTGCTATTCATCGATAGATCACACATCAGACATCGAGAGAAGTATCACGTGGGGTGTGTTAGGTTATTTTCGTTACGGAATTTCTGGATTCGGTCTCCACGCTCAAGGCCCGCGATAGAAGCTATGCAATAGCTTAAAAAGAATACTTTACATAGTAATTAATTTATCTTGAATAAATGTAAAACGTATTTAAATGTAATTGTTTTTTTTATTGATTATTGATTATTGATAGGCTGATGATGATGATGAATATTGTAGACATTTTCATTAAAATCTGAACATTCCATCAATACTCCTCTTTCAGAAACGTAAGTTCTACCAGACAATTTTCGAATTTGACATAACTTCACACAAAAATAGATTAGTTCTCAAATATTAACCTCACGTTATTACTCGACTAGACCTCTCTGTAACACTTGCATTATATAAACTTATTAGACTCATAGAACACAGTCGAAAGCCTGTGGAAGGTCGTGGTTTCCTTTCTAACAATAGACATACGACACAACTATCATCATCATCATCAGCGTTTCTTAGTCCACTGCTGGACAAGGCCTGACCAAGGGTCGGTATAGAGTGTTGGGCGAGGCACGTACTGCGCGTGGTGCTGCAGCCAGGGCCCGGGCGAGAGCAGCGGCTCGCCGATGGCGGCGGCGCCCCGCTCGGCGTCGAGCCGCGCCAGCAGCTGCCGCGCCACCAGCTCCGCCGACGAGCGCTGCCGACAACAACACCGTACATACTAACCGGCTAACGCTACACATATATTTTGGGTCATTTGATGGAAAATGAAGGTCTGCAACTCAGCCGTCACAAATGCGTTGCCGACCTTTCAGGAAGGAGTACGCTCTTTTTTTGAAGGTCGTGTCGGTCCGGGAATACCGCAGACCATAATCAGTTACGGATGTGGATATAGATTCGTATCCAATAAATTTTGAATGCTGTTCCGGCAAACGTTGTTTTGCCATATACATTTTGTCAAAATTTGTTGTTAAAAAAAATAAAAAAATTAGGGTAGGTATGATAAATAGATGTTAGCCGATGCACAGAAAATTTCACGAAAATCGGTCGAGTCGTTCTGGAGGAGTTCAACCGCGCACACGATGACACGAGAATTTTATATATTAAATTAGATAGATTATGAATGCGAAAATGCGTCTGTCTGTCTGTTATTTCTTTATGCATAAACCACTGAATTGATTTAAATGAAATTTGGTATAAAAATAGTTTGAGTCTCGTGAATGGATATAGGATAGTTTTTACTCTAGAAATCATCCTTAAAAGAAGATGGAAGGTTGTATGGAGAATTAATAACCGTTGAATCGATTTAAATGAAATTAGGTGTGAAAATAGTTTGATTTTTGATAAAGAACAGGCTATTTGTTACTGCGATAGCCGACATACAGGCAGGTATGAGTATTTGTTAGCCAATGTACGGAGGCAGGGCCGGTACCTGCGGGTCGCGCGGCGCGTGGCAGGTCTCGGCGAGCGCGAGCAGCACGTCGTAGGCCTCGAGCGCGCGGTCGGCGGCGCGCAGCGCGCAGCACAGCGCCACGGACGTGGACTCGTGCAGTGCGCACGCGCAGTACAGCCGGTGCGCCGTGTCCGCCGCGCGGGACAGCGCGCACCGCAGCACGCGCCGCTCGGCGAGCAGCCGCGCGACCCGCCCCGCGCACCCCGCACACCCACCACCGCCCTCTGCAACCAGGCACGGACGGCTCGAAGGACCAACGTTTGGGTTCAAGGCTCTCAAAAAGTCTAACTTGACGATATAACGATATTATATTGTTATTTTAAATTAATCTAAAACTTCAATAGAAAACTATATGAAATTAATGAAATATTACTAAATTTAAGTACAAAATGTTTTATAATGATGTGAAAATATTAATATGCACTATTTATTTATTAAACAACTTTATCCACAAAATGTACAATAATTCAAATCATCACCTATACCGACACCAGTCTCACCACCACATTTCCTCCTTGAAAACAAACCACCACCCGAGATTCCACGACATCCTTCATCTATAACATCCTCCCCCCCCCCACTCACCGTGATGCTGGGCCGCGAGCAGCGCCTCCCTGAGGTCTGCGTGCGCGCACACGTCCAGCGCCAGCCGCTCCGCCGCCTCCGCGCACCACCCCTGAGGAAGGACAACACTTTATACTTATAACTTGAACTAAATTCTCACACAACACCGAGATTATCCTTAATTTAAAGTAAACACGACTGATGCATTCCACAAATCATAAATAAATAAACAAGCTATCCGTTTATAGAATGCACTTTCGTTATGTAGTCACTTATTTTTATATCTTATGATAAATAGCAACAAAAATAATGATTACGTCATCGGAGGGAGGTCTGTTGGAGTCGTCGTCCTCTGTCTTGCGCAGGCGCACACGAGACGCTAGCTTGGCCTGCCGGGACTCGCACCGGCCTAGTGACACACAATAGCACTTATTTATAACAAGACATATACATACATATGAACAAATGATCTTGCTCATCATACAGTTATTAGTCCTGAGTAGGAATCGAACCCACGACCAGTCAGTCAACGAATGTCTCACCGGCGGAGTGTGTGTACAGCCTGTGTTCGTCTGGCGAGCCCCTCTCCCGCTCACAGCTCCCCCCCGCACTGGTATCTCCACCGCCATCGCAGCACCTAAAGAACACCAGTTATTACAAAACCTAATAAAACAATCCTGGTCATATTGTGGTATCACCACCTTTATTAAGTTTTTGTTCAAGCGTGAGTTGTTTTAACATTCATAAAACTGCATGTGACTAGCACTTGCAACTCAAGTCACAAGGCTCTTGTCGCTCTTTAACTTCCCCCTCCCCTCCCCCCTAAAATCAGGGGGAGGAATGTTGTGGCTTCGGTAACCTCATTCACACGGTAAAGAAAAATGACTGAAGCATTGGTTGACACCGATTATCTGTGACCTAAGGCCCCAAGTGTGAGTTTATTTCACAGGCGTTGCGATTGGTGGAGATTTCAGTGTGGACCAATCACATCACCGAACGCCTTCACCGTAACGATGGAGTAGTAGTGAAATAATCTCACACTTAGGTCTCTGATGTTACACTGCTCTTAGAGGTACTTCGTTTCAGAACCTGAAGGCCCCATCAGCTGTCTGTTCTGCATGATCGTTGTGGACGGTGTAGGTTCACTCACCGCGCGCTGCCCCGGCCGGGGTCGGAGTCCCTCTCGGAGAGGTTGAGGGAGGTGTCGCAGGCGTCGGTGGCCTCCGCGTCCGTGGGCAGGTCGGCGGGGGGCGCCGCCCTCTCCTCCACGTCGGGCGCGCACTCCGACCGACTGACCACATACAATATACTTAATGAGTATGACATGTTGGCTACAGTTTGAGGGGATGAAAACTATATCTAATTATTATCATCAACAGCCTTTAACAGTCCACTGCTGGACACAAGTCTCTCCTTAAAAAGGAGGTTTAATTTCTAATTATTATAAATGCCCATAACACACAACCATCTGATACCAAACTACACAGAGCCTGTGCTATGGTAACCAGACCAGATAAACATACCTATATACTACTAAACACAAACATATTACAGACGAATGACACCAAGACACAGAACAAATGATTATTTGTCCTGGATGGGAATCGAATCCACCACCTGTGGTTTAGCAGTCAGGGTCACTTACCACTAGATATACTGGCAGACGAGTCAAATATATGACAGGTTCGATTCCCGATCAGTGAAAATATTTAATTCAGCTCCGTTTAGCTGTTCTAGCATAACTGAGTGTATAACATCCGTCCAATTTCACATTAATAGCTCTTTAAAATCCTGGTCGTACCTGGCTAAATGCGTGCTGGTGTCGGTAGTGTCGTCTGGCTCCGGCTCCACCTTCGACTCGTGAGGAGTCGGCAGCTCCGCTGGGCTCAGGGCTGATAACGTGTCATTCTGTAAGGTGGGTACGACATTTATATTGGAACGACTACGTGTACTCGCCACGAGCCATAATAACCGAACAGTAACCTCACGAGAAACCGCACTCAATATCTAGGTAGACATAATCTTTCATAAAAAAACTCGGCAAACCTTTAAACACATGATGCGGAAACATTTTTCAAACACTATCAGATCCATCTTAATCTTATATATAAAATTCTCGTGTCACAATGTTCGTTCCCGTACTCCTCCGAAACGGCTTGACCGATTCTCATGAAATTTTGTGTGCACATCGGGTAGGTCTGAGAATCGGCCAACATCTATTTTTCATACCCCTAAATGGTAAGGGTGACCCATCCCTAATTGTTTTTTGATTTGCAATACAACGTTTGCCAGGTCAGCTAGTTTTTTTATATATATGAACTCGTATTATCTATTAAAAAGTACTCTGGGTATATGATATCCTATATATGCTATATTTTTCAATAAATCACATTTTTAATTTCTTTTGTGCATCTCCCATGTTTTAACTCTGCATCGCCCTAAGGTTGACTGGGAGAAAATGCCTACGGTATTAAGTCCGCCTTTGACACATTTGTGTGTGACAAAAACTTGTACTCAAGTGTATTTCTAAGATGTCCAACTTGCTCCGCGGGTCCAGACTTTCCCCAACATAAAGAGATCTCTTGTTCTCTACTTTCTAACTTTCGTGTTCTATGCTGTATAATACTACAACAAGTCAGACCGTCACAACCGCCAGTGCAATCTGCTCGTAACGTCAGGCAATCAATTCAAATGTACGTAAAACCTATTACATAATTTGTGTTGAAGCATGTCCTCGACATGAGGGATACCATGACCTCACAGAAAACCGCTAATAACTAATTATATCGTTGCTAAGCACCGAGCGAGAGACGTAACTGGCGTCCAAACCTTCTCTCTCCTGATTCTGGTGTGACTTAAGAGTTGCAGGTGTCCATGAACAGCGGTCGTCACTTACCATCAGGTGACCCGTTCGCTCGTTTGCCCCTATACCATACAAAATATTATATTTATATATGTACCGGTGCCAGCCTGACCTGTTCCGTCCGTGATCTGTCCGCGTCGTTGTCCAGCTCTCCGGCCGGCTGCGTCGTCGATTCGCATTCGTCTGTAACATACCACAACATAGCAATGACATCTGGCTGTAGCTAGCCAGCTTTATTGGCCAAAGATACTTTAGACAGTAATTTCAGTGGACTATACCAGGCAAAAAGTAATTTTGACTGGTTAGGAGTTTTGACGGACATTATTGATTCTGCCGATTTTTCCAAGTTAATCAATACTAACTATTGAATGCGGCATAGCTCGTGTAAGAGTTGTTTTATTATTTTCCTTTTTATCCAGAAAAAAACAGCTGTTATCCATGTTTAATGTCTCTCATTATTCTAAATTTGCTTTTCTGTGTTCTATTTACTCCTAAGTATCAGTTGTTCTCACCGGACACTTCCTCCTCGGGTATAGCCCTCGCATGTTTGTCATGCGCTCGTCTTCTCACCAGCTCCGCAATGACACCGTGAAGTTCTGCCAGCCTCGCGTCGTGTGCTCTGGCTGCTGTGGCCGCGCGTTGTCGTTCCGCTGCCAGCGCTCGGGCGAGCCCGTCGCGTTCAGCTCGCAGAGAAGCCAGGTCATCTGGCCCGGAGCTCTGTGTAGCAACCTAGGAAAATAAAAAAGCTCTTTAAGAAAAACGAAAAGGGACCAATTCTGAGCAGCATTAGAAGTTACAATTACTAAATTTGCACTTTCGGCACTCGGGAACAAAGGAGCCAGGACTAACTTCCCCCATCAATCGGTCCTATCGTTACGCCCTACGTTGTGGTCTGATTGCGATGAGGCCGTCACCCTATCCCCTGCCGGCCCACGGCCCCGGCAACGTCTCCTAGCTTCCCTTTAACTCAATCAATGTGTTGTCAAAAGCTCAGACAATAGCGCTCGTTTCAGCAATTATTCTTAGACTAAATGGAACCGCTTAAGTTGAGAAAAGTCAGTACATTATTGAAGTGCTTTGAAGTTGGTGCGGTCCGTTTGAATTAAGATAACACGTAGAAATCTATTTTTGGGGAGACATGGACATTTAGGATACGTTTGGCGAGAACCTTGAATTTCTGAGGATTCAATCAAAACGTGTCATAGAAATCGCGCAGATCATCATCGCTAGCAATACAATTCTTAAAACTAAAAACGCCACACCAGATGTCATAGCAACTACATACCATCATGTGGAACCCATTTTGTCCAGCAATAGGCGGTGCTGTCACCGGCCTCAAGCTGGAGTATCTCCAAGACGATTCCCTTGATATCTCCTCCTCAGCAACATTTGGACAGCAAAGATACCAACTTCTGCTCCTCCTTACTCCTGAGGCAGAATCCAACTGCGTCAACGGCAATCGTCCAACGACTTCCAATTCAGCTAGGAGTGGTTCTTTTTCTTTTGGCTCGGGCATAGGAAAGGTGCCCGCGGTCGAGTAAGTTTCTTCAATTTTTCTGGAATTTTCTGGAGTGTTGTAATCCGGGAGGCTCCAGTGTCGAACCCTGTCTCTGAGGGGGGGCACTTCGCGTACGGCCCCATCGTTTATTACCTCATTGGTGTCGACGTATTCACTTAGTTCGTCAGGGTTCTGTACAATGACTTCCTGGATCGGTTCTTGGCCATTTTTACGCTTGAGTCGCTCAAGGTCTGCGTAGTAGTAAGCGGTAGAGCGCGGCGGCTCCCCGCTTAGGGTTCGAGTTCCCGCCAGAGTTTGAATTTTCATAGCATTTTCTTGACTTTATCACTCACTCAGTTTTAGATTTTGAATTGAGATTCAGTTTTAACACATTTTATTGCCACGTTCTGGATTAAAGAGGAAATGATCTAAACGCGTGTTCCGAATGTGCAAATTGTTTGTGGTAAACTGTTCGCTTCGTTAAAGTCTGTTGCAGAGCAATGGAAAAGCAAATGGTCATAATTTTAGACGTCAATGTGGTTTCGGTTCTCATGTAACGATTATTATGTTAACAAATTATTTAGGCAACTTGAAAGCAAAAGATCTAATTCTGATTTTAATCAACCACAATCATTTAAGCCATCCATCGCAATGACATAAAAATATTCCCCCCATCTGACAGTTCGCCACAAAGTTTTAGCACAATACGAACACGTCCTACAGATGCTATTGCTCAACAAGGCAGTGCTTATGTCAATTGGTAAGCCCAATTCGTCACCGGCGACAACACAAACAAACTGTTGTCGGTGAGGTCTTTGAGATAAATTGATGCGAATACCTCAATTAGGTTGGCGTTGTGTTGCGCCAGACGCCAGTCGATGTGTTGACTCATGTCGCGTATTTTTAGATTTACTTTACAAACAAAGGACTGTTATATCTTCTTATTAAAAGTGAAATCGATAGAATACTCAGGCATTCATAGCCAGCTATTGTTAATTCAATGTTGATTTGAAGATATCAAAACAATAAATTGATAATGGAGAACAATTCGAGTTACAGGGACCCTGACCTACTCGACTTATTGGTTTTACACTCCCCAATATGGATTCTGAACCTTAGAAGCAACTTGTCCATTCATATTAACCTAGAGTATAAAACGACCAAAGAATAAATGTTGGACTGCGTGAAAGAGGATATGGTTAGAAAGGGAAAAGCAGACTGAAATGACGAGTGATAGAACAGGATGGAAGATGAAAACTCATCGCGCCGGCCTGAATATATTAGTTATGGGGGAACAAGGTGATGATTGAACTCGCAATTTTTACGGGAGGGTCACGCTTTTCGAGTATATGTATGTATGTGATTTTTAGCGCCAAATTATATGTTTTCAAAAATGTATTTACTACAAAATCCATCCAGTGGGTTACCAAAATAAATGGTTTAATTAATACTTGGCCGTGTGTGAGGTTTTTGTAATTTTTTAAATTCAAGAAATGCTTAAAGATATAAAACATAAAAAATGCGATAAATAGATGGCGTAGTGGTTTCTGTAACGGACTGCTATTCTAAAGGTCGCGGGTTCGATTCCCGCTCAAGTAAAACATTTGTGTGTGTGAACTTGTAATGTTTGATTTGGTCTGGGTGTTTCTATGTATAATATGTATGTATTTACAAAAAAAAAGTATATATGTATTTATATCAGTTGTCTAGTAGCCATAGTAGTATTATTATTATTATAATGAAGTTTTTGAATTTACGTATACGATTTTCACGCAGTCGGATTTTTGTTGTGCTAATGATAATATCTAAGTATTTTTTAACGAAATTGTTCGTTTGTGTTGTCTAGAGCCCAGAGTCCAAGCTACGCTAGACTATTTAGTAGAAATATCGCAACATATAAAATGGCATCTCAATTCACAAATGATTTATTAACGAGGACAAGTTGACGACTATTTTATGCCATCACGACAATCGACAAATCTCGGTCCGGTGCCCTTGATTAGTAATTAAGTGATAGCGTCTCGGTGTCGGCAGATCGTCCTCCCCTCCCGCGCACATCACGTACACTTCACCCCCTATTGAACCTCTGCAAGGCTATAAAGACTCCACCTTCCATCAAATAGGCTTGTCTTCAAATAGACTTTAACATCCATACCTACATATAAACTAACTTGCCGTAACCCACTTATTCATCAACGCAGTCTAAACAAACCGCTGCGACACAAACTTAATATTTTGACAGCTGTCGCTTTTTATATTGTAAGCACCCTTTTTTTTTGTTGACAGGGTGGAAAATCCCTTCGGATCTCCCTCTTTTCGGGGAAGTTGGAGCTAGAGTATGTGGTGTTTCCACTAAAAACCACCCCGACAGCCGATCAAAGGCGCCCTGCTCTGGGGAGGACCCGGAGCATGTTATTTCAGCCCCCTCGGATCGAAGCCGCGCCCAGCCAAGCCCTATCCTCCCTGCTCGTGGGGAAAGCAGGCTTCCCCGGAAGTATCCACTAAGGATTTGTGGAAATTTCACGTTTAAGGGGGTAAAATAAGGGATGAACGGTTGTATGGAAGTTTGTAATTTGCAAAGTTAGAAAGACGAAATACTCACACGAGCAAAGCCGCTGGGAATAGATAGTTTCTATTAATAACTACTATATTTTACTTTTTAAATGAGTGTTGATTAAAAAATCACTGGTTATAAACATATATTCAGTACGTTTTGACTGTGTGACCCTGACTGATAAGCGAGAGGTCGTGGGTTCGATTCCCAGCCGGAAAAAAATAATGTAACGAGCACGATCATTTCTTCTATATCAGTCTGTGTGTAGTTTATATCTATAATACGTATGTATGTATATACATATATATATATGTACATACATATATATATATACATATATATATATGTACAAAACATCCGCACACCATTCTGTAACACCCAATGTATGCCCCCTGTAGGGTTTTTGTGATTTAGCCTTTTTCTAAAGCGAATTTTGTTTAACCATAATACAAAAAAGGCAAGCCTAATTCTTTTAGCTATCAAAACTTAACTACCTTTAACAGGTGTTCCCGGGGGCAATAGTTATAGTATGGAACAAAGGTTAAAATAAACGGTCTTTAAACCCCCATTAAGCATTTAAAAGATTATTCCGTTAATCTTTTAACGTTTAAATGGGTGTACAATGCGCCCCATTGTTATTTTTCAAAAGTTCATAGGGTTGTCCCAAAGGCTTTTTTTAGTTTGAAAGAAGAAATCTGTGTAGAAATCAAATCGAACAGGATTTTAGTTTAGACTAACCGTGGGGGACCCTACTACAGCATAAATGAAGGGGTTTTCAGATTTCCCCCTGTATTGTATAAAAGCGATGTTCTTCCCCAAAATTTCATAGTTCTAGGTCCGGGAAAATTGTTGACCCTTGAGAATGTCGAAATGTGGTTTTCATTAGCCTAAAGGGCCCAATTTTGTTACGTTAACTCAAAAGTTTGATTTTTTCAGAGCTTAAAGGAACTGAAAACCGGAGAATAGGGTTTAATTTCACTAGATCCTCCCGCGTACCCGAGAAAAAGGGTCTTGACAGCCCAACTAGAAGTGATCCATGGGGCCCCACTTTTTTCCTTTAGGTACGGAACCCTAAAAAATATCTCAGCGTGTGTGTGAACGAGTGCCAACCATACGTATGTGGTCAGTACCTAGCATCAGCACTAAGTACGCAGCAAATAACCTCGTGTGTCGGTGACTCACAATTAGCACGGGGATAATGAAACAACCTACATGCGGTGTGTTTGTGGTGATTTTCGTGTTACAACAACATCGCTACTGTCCACAGACAGACCATACAGTAGAAGATAGGGAGTGAGTGGACGAAGTTTTACGTACCTACTACAGGAATAAAGGATGTTTAAACCATATATCTGGTGGAAGGCGCATCAGCGGCTCATATTGCGAAGACTGACCTGTCTGTCTCATGGATAGCGATCCTCACTGGCTTAGCGATCCTTACTGGGTGTAATTTATCTATAATATGTCTGTGTAAGTATTTTTATCAGCAGTCTGATTACCATAACACAGGTACTGCCTAGTTTGGGTACAACGGGCAGGGGGTCAAAAGCTTTGTGACGACACATGTTAATTTTTTTTATTTCTTTTTATATGTGAATAAAAAGCCTAAAAAATTTACGAACTTGATCTATGTTTATTAATTATTTTTAAATACATGCAAACATTATACAACCTGTCGGACGGGTGAGGTGTTCAAAAGTCCTTAAATTCGTGTCCTTATATTTGGGCCATCCATAAATTCTAACAAACAAACTTTATAATCAGCTTTTTAATCTTAGTATAGATTTATGGGACCATGCCTAGTATACACAATAGTTGGGATGCCTTCGGGTACCGCCCCAGAGTTTTGTGATCGACGTATGGGCACGCGCACGGCGTGTGCCGGCCTGGCGCTGCGCCAGCGCAAGGGGTCTCTGAACGCGCTGTTATGTGACTTATCACACACACTCAGATTTATATATTCATACACGTGGCCGTGAATACACAAGCGTGTTTTGTTTGTTTATCTTACGGCAGGAGCTGATTGGTTTATATTTAATAACATGGTGAGTAAATAAGAGCAGTGGATGTGCTTGTGAGCTGTGATGAGCTCTCCAATCATTCAATCCTATTGACGGCCTCGGTGATGCAGTGGTAGCGTATGCGACTGGGCTCTGTTGAGGTCTCGAGTAAGATTCCCGGGTCGGACCAATTTTTTTGTATAATATGCAAATATTTGTTTCGGACTTTGGATGTTTACTATATATAATGTGTGTGTATTTGCAAAAACAAAAAGTATTTAAGTATTTTATCGGTCAATCTAACTTTTATAGTACAATCTCTGATTAGTTTGAAACTAGATGGCGTTGTGACTTAAATGTTTGAAAATATTAACAATATATATAAAATAAATCAGTATACGCAGCCACGTCATGGAGATTCTGGACCTGTCGGAGAAGGCTTCGATTCGTGTAACTGTCACCATTTAAACGAACGAGTTATGCTTTTCCAGACGAAATGTACGTATTCTATTTTCTTTTCAATACAAGTTTTATGCAAATTCATTTCATGATAATAGGATGACCATTCATCTGATGGCACCTACTACCCACATTCAAACATTAGATCTCGTTGTAAAAACTAGCTGTACCGTGCTAAGATTCGCTGTGGCACATTGTGATTGAAAAGACACGATAATAACCATATCTGAAGCGTATTGTAAACCGTGTCAAAATTTGAGCCCAATCGATCCAGAACTTTTTAAGTTTTTGAAGCGTCCATAAAACAACATAAC